AAAAAAAGAAAAAAAAAGAAGAAGAAAGCACGGCAGCTGGAGACATTTCCATACTAGGAACCTTTCTGTCTGTTCTCCTTTCTGTAGTGGCTCAAGCCCATCCCGGAACTCCGTCCCAAATGCAGGTGAGTGTCATGATCAATTTTGTGTGAAAGGGATCGGATGGGGGTATTTGAATTGTCAGCCGTTGCTGAAAATCACTGACAATTGCTTGCATGCATCGGTGCTTCTATCGTGCGTACTCGATGCCTCGCGATGGAGCTTCAAGAGGCTCTGCGGCACAACGCTTCACTGACTGAAGATATCAGGTTAGCTAATTACCAGAGGCAGGTTTTGTGTGATCTGAGCGCTGGTGTGAAACCCGGAATCAGGCTATAAGAAGATCCAAGACAAGCTACTAGTATATTCTGGCCGTGGCTTCGACTAAAAACCTTTGTCTGGAAGAGACCTGTGGAGCGCCATCTCAAAGATAGAGAAAGAGAAATATTTACAAAAACTTAAATGATGTTAGTACTTACTCGAAGCTTGCTTGCGCGCTACGTCTCAGCTGGCGGCTGTACAGCTTCTTCTGTTCTGGGGTGCCCCAGAAGAGTGCTGACGCCTCTGGATTGACCAGTGTTCGTGGATCGTACGTGGGGTTGTCATCCTTGATAGCCTCCACAATGGCCTCGATATGGCTCCTCAAATCATCGGAGCGACGCGCGCTGTAGCAGAGTACCCCGTCCTTAGATATGCGGTGATGAAAGAGAGGCGTTTCAACCTTGACACGAGGCTGAATATCCGGGAAATGTGTGGACAAGTAGATCTTGATGTTGAAGATGCCTCCGTCAAGGTTAGACATAGGTGGTCCGAAGAGAACGACCTTCCAAACGAACGGGTTGCCCTGAACTAGCTCAAAGTCGAGCTGGACGCTATCGGCATGCTCGAAGTGGTCAGTGGTTTGCTCAAACTGGCGTTGCAGATTGTTGGCAATGCTGAGCTCTTGCTTGCTAGCCTGCAGACCATCATCTATCCAACTCAATGTTTCCTTTTCCAGTGCCTCGCGGATAGCAGCCAGACGGTTGAGCAACCTTTCATATTGGAACATGCCAACCATCTCATTGCTGGGTCCCTCGAAGGGCATCCGCTCGAACTTGGCATTCTCCTTGTGCTTATCCTTGACCTCGTTAATTTTCTTCACGTACGAGTTGTAGTACCAAAGGAACCGTCGCTTGCAGAGATCTTTGAATGGCTCGAAGATGTCAGCGTCAGAGGATTGATAGTCTTCCTCTGCATCGTAGCGGACAGCGCCCTTCTTCTCGGGCGGGATGATCTTCAGATAGTCTTCAAGCCTTTCAATCACTGAAACGCGCATTGTTTCGTGGTGTATCTGAGCACAGTCAGCTCCTTGAGGCACGAAGTTTTACAAGTCGAGTCCGGCAGGGCGGAGAGCATTTTAAAAGATCGAAGCATATCGTATCGTATCGCATACCTTTGCAATGTAGGCTGCTTTGAGCTTCTTGTCGTAATCGGAGTTGGCTTCTTCGAAGCCCGGTTCGTTCTCGTAAGGGTCGGGCGACATCAAGCTCTGGATAGAGATCAGGATAGACTCCAGACCCTGGGCGGAGGACCATTCCTCGCCTCGTTCGCCTCGCCAAGTCCTACAACAGCATCAGAACTCTCCTTCTCTTTAAAAACGTGACTTGCTTTCCTACCCAAGAATCGATCTAGAGGACGATTAGCATGCGCCGTTTTGTAATGTATGCGCGATTATCAAAGCGAACTCACAGACAGACTTTGCCCTGGGCGTAGATGTTCGGGTTGAAGCGGGTCCGACCGCCATTGGTGGTGATGCACTGGACAGAGGGTGCCTTGGCAGGATATTCTTTGAAAAGGTTAGACCTCCCGCGAGCGCAGGCTTGGGGATCCTTGGAAAAGAAGCGAGCTGCATACCCTTTCCAAACTTGACCGAGAACTGCGAGGATAATCATGTTAGCCTGTACAGCAGATAGTTGCAAGCATGGACATCAGGCACTCCCGACCTCGAAGAAGCCAAACTCATACGGCGTGTCTGGCGGGCCGATGATGAGGGCGCGAACAGAGCGGACATCGCTGTCCCGACAAGCAACAGCTAGAGCTGACTTGGCATCAGTGGCGGTGCGTTTCCGGCCTGGTACAGCCTTACATACACAGATCGGAGCCTCTCTGAATATCACAGAGCTCCTGTAGCCAGTCAGCAGAGGCGCGGCGACGGGCCACTTTGGGATTGCAGGCATACGCGCGAGATGCGAAGAATCGACTGGTTAGACATGACGGTGGTGGTTCACCTTGGCGTCACGTTTGCTGGCGTAGTCGCGGGAACCTAGGGTGTGGAGGATGATGATGTGAGAGAGAGCAACAGGCGGCAGTAGAGGATCGCGCCTGGCGGACGAAAGAAGAGAGAAAGAGAGGCTCACGGAGCGACAGGACCAGAAAGGCAAGGCAAACGCAAGCTTGTATGCGAGGCGGAGAGAGTTAGGGCAGGGCGAAGCGGAAGTCCCAAGGGCGGCGGTGCCTAGCTGCAGATCAGCCGACAGGGATCCGGGCGCACCCGCTGCCCGCTTGCTCTAGAGCATCGCAAACCACCATGGCCCTTTAACCCGCGTCTCCTCTACTCCACACCGCCGCAAACATGTGAGCTGCCCCACCCCCGCAGCCCCGCGCATCCCCAAGCTGACTCTCTCACCTAGGGTCGTCTTCATGCTAATGATCATCAACAAGGCCGGCGGCCTGGTCTACAACCGCGAGTTTCACCCCGGTTTGAACAAGCTTCCCAGCAACGACCTGCTCGTCCTGGCTGGGACCTTCCACGGGTACGCGCACGCGCCCTGGTTCCAATTCCCTCCAATCGCTAACGCGCCTTGCAGAGTCCACGCTATCACGCGCTCCCTGACCCCCGCCTCACTTCTGCCTGACAGAAACGCCCTCCCGACGAGCACCGGCACCTTGCCCTCACTTCGCCCGCAGCCCTCTGGCCTTGAAGTCTTAGAGACAGCCAAGTTCCGCCTCCTCTGCTTCCAGACCCTCACCGGCACAAAGTTCCTGCTCTTCACCGAGCCCACCCAGCCCAACACCGACGCCATCATCCGTCGCATCTACGAGCTCTATGCCGACTTCGTCACCAAAAATCCTTTCTACACTGTCGAGATGCCCATTCGTTGTGAGAAGTTTGACAGAAGCCTGGATGCTTTCGTGAGAAGCCGAGCTTGAAGAAGCTCTCCTTCCTACTATTGTGGAGCAGATTGACTTCAGCTACAGATCAAAGACGTGGATGACGGCAAGTGGCCCCCGAAGGCCAAGAGCAATAGCAAGAACCTCTTGGAGCGCCTCAAGCGTTCGACTAGCATCAGCAAGCTCAAGGGTGAGCACAAGGAGAAAACCAAGAAGGGCGAGCGAAAGGAGGCCAAAAAGGATGAGAGCAAGGCCATGGATAAGCTGAAGGGATGATGGACAAGGGCTTCAGACTCGCGCACGGAACAACAGTGGAAGGTTGACAATGTTTGCTACGGCTGAGGGAGCAATGAGCCTGTCCCGGGAGGATTTCTGAAGGATTGCTACACTGACGGGACTCGGATCAAGGGCCCAGCACGAAGGAACGTCACAATCACACGATAAATGAAGGCTTAGCTATGCCTTCTTCAATGAATTATGCCTGCAAAGGGTCATAACAACTTCCAACACGCCCAAAGCCAGCGTGTGAATCTAATGTAACCCGAGCCTACTCCATGCACATGTCCGCAGAAAATCATGCCGTGTCCATCCGGTCACCGTCGTCCTTGTCTTTCTTGTCGTTCTCCTTGTTGGCGGAGCCGCTTCCAGAGCCAGAGCCACTCGCTTCGCCGTTCTTGTCCAGCAGCGGCTGCTTCTCGTCGCCGCCCTCCTCGGCAATGCCCTCCAGCTCCGACTTGCCGTCCTTCGCTTCCTGCACCTTCTTCTCGCGCTCCTGCCTTGCCTTCTCCTCTTCGTAACTCATGCGCAGAGCCAGCGCGAGCTCCGGATCCATGCTGGGATCAACACCGAACTCGAAGTCGTTGGTGCCGGTGTCACCACCAGCGCCCGCGCCCGCGCCACCGGCACTGCCGGAGCTGGCCTCTCCGCCTATTATCGGCGTGGTGACGATGGCATCACTGAGTAGGTTGGATGAGGGTGGGATGATGGCGAGGTGGGAGCCGTCGCCGCCCTTGACGTTCTCGTTGAAGGACTCGAGTTTGGCAATGTTGTCGTCGCCCAGGTCTCCGAAAGCAATGATGTCGACGTTGATGTTGTTCTTCTTCATGCGCTTGGCCAGCTTGACCAGCGCCTTGGAGTCTTCCTCGAGGGTGCTGCAGGTGAAGACGATGATGCGCTGGCGTTGGGACTTGTTCTGGCGGTGCTTGAGTGCTAGCTGTTAAACCATTTCGTTAGCCCATATATCCGGAAGCTCAAGACAGACACAAGGTGCTTACCGCAGCAATGTTGATGCCGGTCGAGAAGTGCGGAGATCCTCTTATCTTCGTGCGGTGCAGGCCATCCAGTATCTTGCCCATATCCGTGGTCAGGGTCGTGAGGACCTCGGGGCCGCTACCGCCCATGCTCATCAGGCCGACCGATGATTCCGGGTTCGCCTGGATCTTTGCGGAGAAGATGAGGTTGACGGCGTCCTCTTGCGCCGCAAATCGTGAGGGACTGGGAGTGGTATGAGTTCAGGTTCAGGTCCGGGCCATCGTCGCAGGGAGCTTACACATAATCTCCGTTTCTGCTGCTCTCGCTGTTGTCGACCCTGTAAAGCGGTCAGCGTCACGGAACCGGTAGCTTCGTAAGGGAGCTATGCGTACACTATCATAGTCGCCTCCAACCCCATCTTGAATACTGTAGCTGATTTACGGTATTTGGAAAGTAGAGAGACAGAAGTTCTGGCCCAAAGCGAGTGCAGGAGCGGTCTTGGAGCAAGGGAGAGATGTAGCGGGGAACGGCGGTGATGTGACAAGCTGAGAGGTGCTAGGTGATGTCGACGGGGTGGAGCTTCCGCCTCAAGGTCGGCGTTACAAAATCCCGACACTACAACGCTAAGCTCCGCGCGTCTTCCGTTGTTTACAGTCGCAACATCATCTATACATCGCCGTCTACTACGCGATTTTCACCTTACGAGCCTCTAAAACCCCAAGAAAGAAGGACAGCCGCTCCCGTCAACCGGCTACGTATCGCAATGGCCCCTCGCGCCAAGAAACAGCAGCCCGCGGCTCCAGCTGCCTCAAAGGACTCTCCGATGGAGACACCTTCCAGCAAGACGCCTGAGCGGAAGCCCTCAGGCGGAAATATTCAGATCACCGAGGCGCAGAAGCAAGCATTGGTGGACAACCTACAGCTCGAGGGTAAGAGCCGGCTCCGGCACGCCAATGCGCGCAACCACTAACAGACGCGCCAGTGACGGAAAGAGCACGCAAATTAAGAGCGCAGTACGGGCTGTTGGCTCAAGGCTTGCGCTCTAGGCTCGAAATGCGCGTTAACCGTATCCCGCATGCGCTGCGGAAAACAAATATTCAGGACCTTGTTTCGAAGAATTCAGAACAACCGCCAGCCCCTACGGCCACCAACACCATCACGCCCATCCCGGTCCCTGTCTTCGTTCCCAAGAAGTCCCAAACCGTTGCGCCTCCCAAGGCTGCTGCCAGCCCGGAACGTACCCAAAGCCGCAAGCGCAGCAGCAACGAGATCATCGACAAAGAAAACGCCCAGCAGGAGTTGACCGTGCCAAAGAAGCGCGCCAAAACCACCGCCAAAGCAACCTCCAAAGCCGTGCGCAACATCTCCCGCGCCGACGCCCCCTCCTCCGTCCTCTCCCCCAAGTCTAACAACTCGCGTACCCTTCCCCGCTCGCCCATCAAGGAGGATCTTACCCAGAAATCCCCCATCAAACCCACCGCGGCTACTCTCAACCGTCCGATCTCCGTCCTTAAAGCCCCCACTCTCGCCGCTCCTGAAAGCCCCGCAAAGCCCGCCCCAGCCAAACCTGCCGCCCGCAGCAAGAAAGCAGCAGCAGCCGCCGAGCCGGCGCCAGCACCTATGCGGGAGACACGTCAGCGCACCAGCCTGGCGAGCAGTCAGGGCGAGGAAGTTGCGGCCGTACCCGCGCCCGCACCCGCAAAGAAAAAGGCACCGGCGAAGAAGACGGCTGCCGCAAAGGGCGGGGCGACGAAGACGACGAAAGCCGCGGCTGCGAAGAAGGCGAAGGAGACGAAAGAGGCTGCTGCTGAGACGGCGAAGCCAAAGGCAACTAGGACTACGAGGGCGAGGGCTAAGGCGTAGATGGGGATGTGAGCTTTGTGTTTGTTTTTCGTTTCTGCAGGAGAACATGGGGACGAGGCGTTTGGGCGTAAGCTGTGCGCATGTACAGTTTTCTGAACTGGTTAGGCGTTTTTTGGGGTACTTCTAGAGCCGGCGGGCTGTGTTTGGGTCGGGCTATTGGTAAAAGGAGTGCGGATGCTGTATACGTAGGCACCTAAAGCATAGTAGAAGCATTGGTTGCTGCTGCTGCTGCTGCTCTTGTAGGAGTGTATGCGATGGTTTGTGTGTTGTGTTTTGTGTATCACGTGTTTAAGGGAACTATCTTGTCTAACTAAGCAGTGTACTAACAGGTGCTGGAGCTGGTGAGGTTAACCACCGCTAAGAAGAACTGGAAATATCTACAAAAAGGGCGTGCGGTGTTGTGTGTGGGGAGCGACCGCATACACCTTAACATACGGAGTACCGCTCGCTGTGGGGACGTAAAAGGCAACATCTGCGCCTATGTACCTCTCCGAGACAAAATTCGAGTAAAGAAGTGGTGATTCTTGATTATCTGTCTGCTCCTCAAATCCTCATTCCATGATAGAGCCAGCTGCTAATAACCAGCCAGCCAGTCATCATACACCACGCGCACTTAGCTATGTATGATATGAATACATCAAGTCCGATCGATTCCAAAGGTGCTCCGTCATCATAGCACATTCAACCATCAACGCCCGAAAACCTCAAACCAGCTACCGAGCTCGCTTCTTAGTACTCCAGCGAGACCTTCTGTCCCTTGACCCTGCCAATGACAATGTTAGGCGCGTACTTGGGGATGACCTCGTCGTCGTGCAGCATCTCGAACTCCTCGCTGGCGTCCTTACCCATGTGGCTGAACAGGGCCTGGGGGCCACCCGGGTGCTCCTCGACCCAGTTGGTAAGGTCCATGACAACGCCCTTGACCGCGATCCACAGGTCGTCCTTCTTGTTGTGCTTGGCCACCTCTTCGAGCGTGTACTCGTCATCGGGCACCTTGAACTCCTTGAGCTTGTTGGGCTGGCTAGCCTTGCCAGGGTCGGCCGCGTCCTTAGCACCACCTCCCATGACCGGCGCTGCTGACTGCTGCTTCTGCTTCGCGATTGCGTCTTCGGTGCCAGAGCCAGAACCAGACCCTGAGCTCGAGCCCGAGCCCGATGCACCACTGCCCCATTCCACCGACACCTTGCCCGGTTGTGCGGGGTCAATGTGCAGGCTGATCTGGCCCAGACGCTGTGCTGCTGACGATGCACCGCCGCTTAGCAGCTTCTGGAAGAGGTACTTGCACGCCGAGTCACCAGCGACGCGACCGTACACAACGCACCCAAGCAACGACGAGCCACCGAGACGGTTTGCGCCGTGGACACCGCCTGCCAGCTCACCGCAGACATAGAGACCTTCAAATGGCTTGCCGTCGCTGTTCAGGCACTGTGCTTGGTCGTTGATCTCGATGCCGCCCATGGTGAAGTGCAGAACAGGCTCCATCAATGCAACGTGGAACGTGTCGTTGACATTGAAGGGGAAGTTGTGGAAGAACTTCTTGCCGAAGGGGTCCTTCTCCTTACCCTCGGCAATGGCGTTGTACTCTCTGAAGGTCTTCTGCAGAGCATCCTCGCCGCAACCGATCTCCTTGGCCAGCTCCTTGCCAGTCATCTTCTTCATCAGACCACGGCCGGAGTAGTGACGAGTGTGGAAGTCCAGGACGTTGGACGCCTTGGAGTTCAGGACCAGGCGAATAGGCCATTGTCCCTTCTCCTTCTCCTCCCACATCTTGCCCGAGACATAATCACGGTGGCCGAGCTCATCGGAAAACCGCTGGCCCTTGCCGTTAAGAAGGAGACCACCCTCGCCGCGAAGTGCTGATAAAGTTAGCATATATATAGAGTATAGCTGAAAGCATCAACTTACCCTCAGCAGCCAGGAATTTCCACTTAGAGCCGGGATCCTTGGGGTCAATGAGGCCAGTCGGGTGGACCTGGACCTTGTCCATATCGATGCCGTTGGCGCCAATCTTCATCAACATCTTGTGGCCGTCACCGGTGGCGTGAGCGCCGTTGGTGGAAGACAGGCCATAAGTGTCGGGCCTCCACTTCTTGAGCAGCGAGTCCTCAGTGAAGTCTGCCGCGTATCCACCCGTTGCGAGGACGACGGGACCGTCCACAGTAACTTCCTCGCCGTTGAACGAGTATGTGACGCCAGTGGCGGTGTTTCCCTCCTTGTTGACTCTTAAGACCTTCGCCTTCTTGATGAGTTGGACGCGGTCTGGCTCAGCCTCCGACAGCTCCTCGAACCGCTGCATGAGAGCATATGTGATGGCCATACCGGGGAACTTGGCATCGTGACCACGGTGGGTGCGAGGTTGGGAGTGGCCTCTGCATAGCGGTCAGAAGATGATACTCCGTGTTTTCGCTGCTCGCGGAACTTTACTCACCCTAACCGCGATACCAGAGTAAGATCGAGGTTAAAGACATCCTGCAACCACTCGACTGCCGCCGCGGACTTGTAGGTAAGCACCTTGATCAGGTCCGGCCGCGCCTTGTCTCGCGCAGACTTGAGAGTATCATCGTAGAACTGCTTGACGCTGTCTTTGATGTTGAGATCAATCTGGGTCCTCGTGAGGGCGCCGTTGATTCCGGAGGTGGCCTTGGTGGAGTTTCCTCCCATAAAGTCTGCGGCCGTGCGTTAGCCGTAGGCTGATGTCATGCGAGAGGCACCTTTACGTACTGTTCTTGTCAAGCAGCAGCACATTTCCGCCAGAAAGATAGATGGTATGAGCAGCGCTCAGACCGGACACTGATGGCAGCTGTCAGCGGCGGGATGGTCGACATGAAAATGGCATGACGGGGGAGCTTACGGCCGGCACCGACGACAATGACTCTCGGAGCCATGATGGGCGTGACAAAGGACAACGGCAGCGAGGAGTGGGGGGAGGATGAAGGAGGGGGAATGGAGGTAAACAGAGGGGTATCTTGGAAGGACGGAAGTGGGCGGTGCGGCTGTTAAGTATGCAAAGGGAACAGCTCGGTGCTTGCAGCAGTTGCTCTCCCCACACTGCGTCTCTTACCTCGGTGCTTCGCCCGTGCACTAGCGTCGGCAACATACCCCAGATTTGACGGCGAATCGAAGCCGCGGAATTGCTAAAGGCCCTGACATGCACCAACACAGCTCCCTCTCTCTCTTGCTAGCCTTAGCATGTGAACGCAGCCCCCTTCCGCCCGTGTGATCGTTCTTCCAGCTGACGGCTGTCCGGCATGTGAAAACGCCCATTTTCGGCCTTTTTTTCGTCTGCACAAAGACCAGCAGCGCGCTCTTGTTTCGCGTTCCCTCCCGGACTCTCCCTGTCGTTCACTTTTACCGCGACCCGACGACCTGTTTTCCCTGCGACGCCAGAGTTGCCTCCTTCGGCAGTGTCGCGTCGCGCGCACTTGCCCCGCCCGCACTGCCTCGGGAAGCTTCCCGAGCCAACGTCAAACACCGACGGTGCAGTCCAAATGCCGACCATATTATAACCGCAAGTGTTCCATTTGCGGTCGCCTTCGACCCACCTGGATCACGTTTTCGTGGGTCTATCGCGCCGTCATACCACATTTCGTTGCAGCCAGACGTGATGTAAATGCCCAAGCTCTGCTGCTACGGGCGAAAGCGTTTCTGTCGTCTTCAATCGCGACCGCAAACCCCTTTGAAGGGGTATACAGCACATTCAGCCGGCAAAGCAAGATAAGTGTCAGAGAAGGCAGACAAAGGCTCACGCAGCAGACAGTAAAGCCAAAATGTCCAACATCAGAGGAAGCCCAGCCAGCAATTCCAAACTGGAATTTTCCTTGTCCGAATCTTCCCTCAATTTGCGAAGCCACGGTACAGATCTGCCTGGCAGAAGCATCTCGCCCCAACAACTCTGAAAGTTCTCAATCACCATACAATACCGGGCTCAGAAGATAGCATATATGGATCACTATGGGAGTTGGCGCCCTCCCAGGCAAAATCCCCACCTGAATAGGAAGATGTCCCTCCCGCCGCTCCAGTAAATTGCTAGGCGCGTCAATAATACTCTGCGTGCCAGAAGAGTCGAATGCGCTACTTTAAACGCTTCAATACAGCTCTGGCACCAGATGCCGAGAGGATCATATACTATGGGGAGAGCTGGGGCTTAAGGAAGCCAAAGGCATCACAAAAGACGACCGCGACTTTCTCAAAAAGTTGGCTAAGAATGCTACACCCAGGAATAGGCGGAGATCCAGTCGTACTAAAATCGAGAAATGATTCATGGCCAATAGGTAAATCAAGACCACAATGCACCGGAAGGTTGTTATTTGATTAAGGCTTCATTATCGTGACTAATACCTAAGCCGTCCCATCCCATAGACGCCAGCTCCCCAACAACACAGCAGTACTCGATATTACCAGCATTACGTTCCCTTGAGCGCCTGGTCCTGCATAGCTTGACCTGAAGCGTCTTCTGGACCCAAACCCATTTTGGCGGGTCCAGTGACACAAACGCCATCCTTACTGAAGCGCGAGCCATGAACGGGGCAATCCCAGCTCTTCTCCGTGTTGTTCCAGCAAACAACGCCCTTCATATGGGGACACAGAGCGCTGAAGCGGTGGGCCTGGCCGTTCTCGTCCTTATAAACAGCCACGGGCTTCGAGAGCGTGGGGTTCAAGACACCGCCGGTACCAGGTGCAAGGTCCTCGATGTCCGTGATGTCCGACTGCAGGAAGCGCTTGTACTGCATGTTGATCTGGGCGTCATGGGCAAGCATCGTGGGCAGCGACTTGACAATGCTGCCGGTGCGGTTAGGATCGTACAGCTTGCTCCACGGGTTGGGCTTCTCCTCGATTTCGTCGGCGATAAGGCGGCCCGCGAGCACGCCGTGAGTGAGCCCGTTGCCGCTGTCGCCTGTCACGATGAACGTGTGCTTTTGGTGGGGGTTCTTGCCGATGAAGGCCATGTAGTCGACGGGCTCGTAAATCTGCCCGCTCCACTTGTAGTCGACGGTTCCGGCATGCGTGAAGCGCTGGCGCACCCATTGCTCGAGCTCCTCGAAGCGGCCGCCAGTGTCTTCTTGGCCGACTTTATGGTCGCAGCCGCCGACGACTAGGTAGTCGTCCTTTTCGTCACATTGAGTGAAGCGTACGTATTTGTATGCGTCGGCGTTGTCGTAAATGAGACAGTCTTCGATGGAGCCCTTGGGGACACGGATGGCGATGCAATAGGTGCGGTTGTACTCCATCTCTGCAACAACGCTCAGCTTCTGTAGAGGAACGACCGTGGCCTCAACGGCATGGCTGCAAGTAATGGTTTTTCCGTCAATAGTCTCGACCTTGACCGTCTTGCGGCCCATTCCAAGCACCTCGATTCCCTTTTCTTCAAGGGAAGCCATGCGGGTGTGAGTGTAGCATTGGAAATTGGGCTGTTCCTTCAGCCACTTGAGAATGCCAATGAGGTATTGGGTCGGGTGGAAGGTGGCTTGCTTTTGAAAAATGACAGCATCGCGCTGGTCAATAGCTCCGTCCCATCCTTTCACAACAAAGTTGTCCCTGTACTCAACATTCAATCCCAAGCTTTTGGCCTTTTCAACCTCACTCTTCAATTCCTTAATTTCATCGTCATGCTCTTTCTGGCCCTTTGGATATTGCGAAATCTCGTAGCCGGGGAGCTGGCGGTACTCGCACTTGATACCGAGCTTCTCCGAAATCTCACCAACGCGGGCCAAAGCCCAAGAGTGGCTCTCGGCTGCTTGCTTCGCTCCCTCAAATCCATGCTTCTTCTCAATCTGCTCGTATCCGTCATCAAGCGCATTCGACAGATGTCCACTTGTGCGGCCTGTCTCTCCGGACAAAACCTCGCGAGCTTCGATCATGACAACATTGTGACCGCGAACAACAAGCTCATATGCAGTAGAGATGCCAGCAATGCCAGAACCGACAATGCAGACGTCAGTCTCAATGTCTTGTTCAAGCTTAGGGAACCGAGGGTGATTCTTGTAGGGCTCGAGGTGAATCCAGACGGGGTCGGTCTCGCCGCTAGTGAGCATGAACTTCTGAGGCTTTGCCATGGTGGCCATGGTAACTTTTGGGAACTGGGCAAAGATGTAGGTCCGAGTAGGGCGTATCTTGAGAGGGGAAAGAAGATGCTTAAATGGAAGAGGAGCAGTCAAGCGTCTGACAGCCGGCGGCATGGTCTGTCGAGAGGGGTCAAGGGAGGGGTAAAGAAGGCAGCTGCAACTGGAGTGTGAGCTTTAACAACCAATGATGGTAAAGATGATGATGCAGCTTTATGGCATCGTAGGCAGGAGCCCACCTGCCAAAGACCAATTACGATGCTGCATTTGAGCTTCATGACGACATAATGACTGACAGATTGTGTGACTTCAACCAAGGCAGCTGAAAGGACGCGTCGCTCTGAGTCTTGATCTATTGATTTTTTTACACTCTTTTGCTGAAAGAATGTGTGCGACGTTGTATGATGATGTTTAGACGTCAATGGTGCTGCCGCGCATCGTCACGTGTCTGGCTGCCGGGTGTCGCCTAGGCCACAAAGCGAAAACAAACCAACGAAAAGACTCTCATGAAGCCAACATGGGTACGAAAGTCGATGACAGGTACAGACAAACTCGGTTACAATGTTTAACCTGGTCAACAGCTTTGGACTGTTAATACATTTAGGCTTGACTGTTTACAACATTTCTTTTGTTATAGCGGCAAAGGTACGTATGCGAAAGGCTAGGTATGCAAACTCCTGACGAATATCAATGAACACCTTTTGAAGGTCAGGTTTTGCTGACCAGCTCAAAAGTCATAAACAGATTTGACTGTAGGGAGACCCAACTTACTTGTAGGCACGGATATAGTAGCGCGGTCGCAGCCACCTCATATCGAAATAAAGCCTGACCGTTGGCTTGGTCTTGTAGTACGGCTCCAACATACGGATGTGAAAGAAGTCAACTTTACACAGTGCTGCACAGTTGTACATGGATCATTCAAGAGTCGACAAAAGCACATTCACAAGCCATGATGGAGGTGTCTATCACCCTCGGTTAACTTGCCGTTGCATGGACAGAAGCAGGTCTAACGAATGCCCAAAATGGATTAGTGGCGGATGCTTGGAAGAGTAAGGAAGGCGACCCGAAGGCCCTTTCGGGTAGTGAAGACGCCACTCACCTTTATATTTCATCAGCTACCCGCCACGATCTTTGCTCGCAACTCCTTTCACACAAACCAGCAAGTCTGTTATCTTTCAAACAAGGTGCATATTGTCTTTATTGTCTCGATTTTCCGTTTCAAGTATCTGCACGATGTCAACCCTGCTGCACAATGTGCACAGTGTGATGAGTATACCGCTCTACATTAAGGTATCCATCCTGGTAGCATTTGGCGGAATGCTTTTCGGGTAGGTGCTATTCCATAATATGCTTTTATACTGTTGCCAATTTCATGCCTCAGTTTAGACACCGGGACGATAGGCCCAGTGACTTCCATGGCTTCATTCAAGTCATCCTTCGGATCCCTCTCCCCAACTCTCCATGGTGTTGTTGTTTCTTCCATTCTGATCCCTGCGGCACTTTCGTCCTTGATTACAGGGAACGTTGCAGACCTCTATGGACGTCCACGTACAATCATGGTTGGCGCCACCATCTTTGGCATTGGAGCAGCCATCGAAGCAGCAGCAAATAGTCTTGGAGCTTTCATCGCTGGACGCGTTATAACAGGCCTCGGCGAAGGCCTCTTTTTGAGTGTCCTGACCGTATACGTCTGTGAAATATCCCCAGCAAAACAAAGAGGCGCTTTGGCATCCTTGATCCAGATGCTTGTCACAATCGGCGTCGCTACCGGCTATTTCGTATCGTATGGGACCTCAAGGATAAACTCGTCGGCTTCATGGCGGGTTCCTTTGGCACTACAGTCCTTCATATCACTCTCCTTTGCCGTCTCTTGTTCACTGGTTCCTCCGTCTCCACGTTGGTTGCTCTCACAGGGTAGAGCTAAAGAAGCTGCCTTAACTTTGTCTCGCCTCGGAATTTCGCCAACAGAGCACGAAGATATCGTTCAGGTTCAAGGAATTGACTTGGACTTTCCGCCTTCCAAAGCAAGCTTGTTCCACAGTATCCGCGCGACGTTCAAAGATCTTCAGAAGGTATTTGCAAAGAACGCCCGCAAAAGGACAGCCCTCGGATGCTTCATGATGGCCATGCAACAATTCAGCGGGATCGACGGAATACTTTTCTATGCACCACTCCTGTTTGCACAGGCTGGACTTCCTGGAGAACAAGCGACATTTCTAGCGTCTGGTGTGTCAGCCCTTGTCATACTGGTCGTCACAGTCCCAGCATCTCTCCTCACAGACCGACGAGGAAGACGGTCGTCAACGATCTTTGGAGGCCTTGGACTCATGGCTTGTATGGTTTTGATTGGCTCACTTTACGCCTCGAACAGTGTCCATGTCAATCACGGAGCTGCTCGATGGATGGTAATCGTAACGATCTATATTTTCGCCGTCATATTCAGTATATCATGGGCCATCGACATCAAAATCTACTCTAGCGAAATTCAACCGGCAGCCACGAGAGCAAGTGCAACGAGCCTCGCTCATAGTGCAAATTGGGTAAGTTTATCGGAGAATATCGAAGCGAATTAATACTTACATATTACAGCTTGCTAATTTCGTCGTGGCCTTGACGACACCCATATTCCTCGACAAGTCATCCTATGGTGTTTACTACTTCTTTGGAGCCTGCACTCTTCTCACTGTTATTATCTGCATCTTTGCAATGCCGGAAACAAGAGGCAACACCTTGGAGACTATCGATGCCTCATTCCAAAATCATTCCTGGCTCGGAAATAAGAGTTTCCTGTCTCGAGCGCTCCGGCCTAAAACTTCGGGAATTGAGGCAAACACGACGGAACTACAGCCTGTTTCTCGTAGGCACCTCCCTACCACTAGCATCGTGCAGTGATGGTTGAGGAGCTTTCGGGAACAAAGGCTTAACGTCCGTCACCGTCAAGCGAGATTCACCACCTAACGAGATAACGATGCTTGTACCAAGTGAAAACAAACTCCAGTCAAGATGTTTATAGTATGTGTGCGTTCACGGTCCTTCTCCCTCATATACAGGATTTAGACTTGTAGCCAGGCAAGGATTATTCTGTAGGGACTGCTTACATTCTTTTAAAAGAGTACTAAGGTACTGGGACAGTGTTATCAGCTTTTCAAAGTTAGAGGGACTAAAGGCGGCGGATGATTTTAAAGACAAGGTGCTGAAGGCCCTGTCCCGCTGGGCGGTGAATATATCTTAACGGCGGAGAACATTATTGGTGTCCAACCCTCAAAGTCTCGGATCAAGGCACATTTCCTTGGACCGAGGTGGTCGTAAATCGTTCCATTCGAGTGTTCGATTTATGCCTTGGTTTGCTTTTCCTGGATCGGCAGTTTCTCGCACCGAATCGCTCGACCTCGATCAGCGGCATTTTATTACTCAGACAATGCGACGGACTCAATGGACTCTCTATTGCCCTGTTCTCATATATCTAAGCGCAGGCTCAAATGCTCTTCCCAAAAGACACGAGAGGCTCCAGAAGGGACAGTTTGGCGACGGACCGAGCTCCGAGATATAGTGGGTCGTGATTGGCGTGGCCAAACACAGACTCGGCTTGCACAGATCTGGCAGTGGGAATAGCAAAGCTTGGCGTCTCATCACGCGCTGAGGCTCCACCAGATTTTCGACTGTTCCTACAATAGTTATCAGACCTTCGACAAGCGGGACTGCCAAGTCCTTCCCGTCCGCTAAGACCAGCGTCAACTGTAATTTCCTGGCTCTTGACCTCGTTTCAGGGGTTTGGCGAACTGATGCCAAGAATCCTCTCCCGTCCGCCAAGGCGGCAAGAACCACGCACTGCCCTCCTGGCAGGCCGCTCCACGAGGCTCCCCGGAGATCGAAGCAATTTCGGAAGCTCCCATGAGCTCATCGGCTTTCCGGCACGTTGCGAAACGCATTCGTTCCGCCCATCCCAAACAAACAGCCACTCCGCCTGCAGTGTACAGTTAGACTGATCCGCCAACCACCAAAAGTTCGGGATGGATGTGTCAATCCTTCATTCCCCTATGCTTGATCGCATCACAACTGCTTCCGAGCGTCATACGAGGCCCCGTCTAGATGTCTCGATCTTGCTTCTCCATGAGCGGGCCCGACTATGTAGCCCCCATATAAGAGTCGACAGCTGCTTCTACTGAGAAACTCCATCTCCAGTCTTTCCCTCTCCATCCTTTCTTTACAACCAGTCAACAGCTTGCTGTGTACATTCTTTTCTTCAGATCCTTCACTCATTCAGCCAACATGAAGGCCACTACCTTCGCTGCTATCGCTCTCTCCACCCTTGGCCAGCTGGCTCTGGCAGCCCCTACCAAGACCGAGCAGAAGCGCGGTACCCTTGCCAAGCGTGCCGCCATCACCGACGGTCCTGATGTCGGTTATGCCACTGAGAACGGTGGTACCACTGGTGGTGCTGGTGGATCCACTACCACCGTCTCTTCCGTCGCCGAGTTCACCAAGGCTGCTACCTCTGATGACAAGATGGTCATCGTAGTTGACGGAACTATCGAGGGCAACGACAAGGTCCACGTCGGTAGTGACAAGACCATCATCGGCAAGGACTCCAAGGCTGTGTTAAAGAACATTGGACTTTACGTAAATAAAGTTTCCAACGTGATTATCCGCAACTTGTCTATCAAGGAGGTTCTTGCCGACAACGGCGATGCCATTGGTATCCAGGCCTCTAAGAATGTCTGGGTCGACCACTGCGATCTGTCCTCCAACCAGGACCACGGAAAGGACTACTACGACGGTCTTCTCGACGTCACTCACGGCTCTGACTACGTCTCGCTGACCAACAACTACATCCACGACCACTACAAGGCCTCGCTCGTTGGTCACTCCAACAACAACGGCGATGAGGACACCGGTCACCTTCTCGTCACCTACGCCAACAACTATTTCAAGAACCTCAACTCCCGTGGTCCTTCTTACCGCTTCGGTAAGGGTCACCTCTTCAACAACTACTACGAGAACGTCAGCGACGGCATCAACACCCGCAAGGGCGCTCAGCTTCTGGTCGAGTCCAACGTCTGGGAGGGTGGCAAGAAGGCTCTCTACTCCACTGACGGCGGCTACGCTACTTCCAACGACAACGACTTTGGTGGTGCCAAGCACACTGCTGAGGAAGGTTCCCTTAGCTCCAAGGACTTCCCCTACAAGTACACTCTCCTTGGCAGCGGCAAGGTCAAGTCTGCTGTTGTCGGCACTGCTGGCGCCACTCTCAGCTTCTAAGCGCGCGACGGAAATTCAGGAGGATGACAAGGATGACAAAAAAGGAAATTTGAAGCGAATGATGAAGGTTTCAAAAATGGCATTGTCTGCCTTTCTTGTCAATAGTTCGGTTGATAATCACAATAGCTGGGTTTGCTATTGTTTTAGCAACCCTCGCCCTATATCAATGCTCCCGTTTCAATAGTGTGAGTGATCAGACCAAGAGTGAAGGCTGAAGATGTGTTTCGCGAAAGCCTCATTTCTCCTGTTGTGACATGCTTGGAGTCGCCGGCAAGCGAGCTCACTAGTAATGTATCCGCCCCAAGGAAGGCTACCTAGTGGTTAACAGACGGTTGATGTTGGTGGTGGTGGTCGGAGCGGCGGGGTATTTCCTCTTTGGGATCCGTTGTTCCGGCACGCGAGTCACGAGCCTTGGTGGATCCCAGACCTCCACGTCTTCTGCGAGGTAAACACCGCTATCCCCACGTCAGCCGCGTCTCACGGTTCCTCCATGTCTCTCGCTTCATCTCTTCGTCAATTACCGAGAAGTCTCCGCACATCGTCCCGACTCAATTGCTTCCTTCGTACAGGGCCAAAGCTTGTTGTTCCGCCGCACGCCCGCGCCATGGCTAGCGGGTCAGGGTATCCTGTCGCCTCAGCACGGAAAGTTGAAGCCACGGCGCAGCACCTCGCCCCCAATGGCATGAAAGTCAACCACTGGGAGACGCCGGGCACGGCGGCGTTCGACTTCCGCAGCGACACTATCACGACGCCGACGGCCTCGATGCTGACGGCCATCGCTGCGACGACACTGTTTGATGATGTCTTCCAGGAGGACCCGACCACCAACGGGCTACAGCAGTTCGTGGCAGAGCTTACGGGCAAGCCGGATGCCCTGCTCGTCATGAGTGGTACTATGGGCAACCAGATTGCCATCCGCGCGCATCTGGGTGCCCCGCCGCACTCTGTGCTGTGCGACCACCGCGCGCACATCATAGGGTCAGAGGCCGGTGGCGTGGCGTCCCTGTGTGGAGCTATGGTTCAGGGCGTCGTCCCGTCTAATGGGAAGTACCTCACGCTGGAGGACGTGAAGAAGGCCGCTGTGCTGGACGAAGACATTCACTCATGCCCGACGAAGCTGATCAGCCTGGAGAACACACTAGGCGGGACCATCATGCCGCTGGAGGAGTGCCAGCGCATTGGAGAGTGGGCCCGCGAACATGGCATTATCATGCATCTGGACGGGGCGCGCCTATGGGAAGCGGCCGCAGCCGGTGCGGGCTCCCTCAAGGATTACTGCGATGCGTTCGACAGTGTGCAGCTGTGCTTCAGCAAGGGCCTGGGAGCACCGATTGGCAGCATCATTGTCGGCACCGAAAAGTTTGTGCAGCGTTCGCGCTGGATTCGCAAGAGCATTGGTGGTGGTATTCGTATGGCCGGTGTCATCAGCTCGGCTGCACGCACCAGTGTCGAGGAGACATTCCTAAGCGGCAAGTTGGAGCAGACTCATCGCAATGCCAAACGCATTGCCGGGACTTGGGAGAAGCTTGGTGGCAAGCTGAGCATGCCCGTTGAGACGAATATGGTCTGGTTGGACCTGGAGAAGGCAGGCATGAGCGCAGATGATTTGATTGTCCGCGCACAAGAGAAAGGTCTAAGGTTAGGGGGTGGTCGGCTGGTGGCGCACTACCAAATCTGTGAGGAGGCGATTGGGAGGCTGGAGGAGCTAATGCGTGATATCCTACAAGGAAAGAAGAGGAAGGTGAGTATGGAGGAGAAGGATGCGGCAGAAATCAAGCCCAAACAAATGAAGCTCGATAAAGAGTAGGGTTAACGGAAGAAAACTCAAAATTTGGGGGTGTTAACGAGATATGAGTAACGTAAGTCCTCGATACTTGTAACTGTTCCATTTTGATATTGAGAGATGTAGATTGGAACCTACCTATAGAACAGAAGAAACGATCAAATTAGCGCTCAACCTTGCTCAGTTATCCAGCTATACATCAAGCTGTATCCATCCGACAAATTTACCCATCAACGCGAACAATGCCATCCCTTTTTAACACCTTCATACGGCTAGCGCAACGGCCAAAGACGACGAACCTCCGAAAACTGGCGCAAAAGAAGTGGTCGTGGTGGTACTCCTTCTCGTCGTGACATCAATCCACTGCTACACCACTTCATTATGACAACTAAACGTAGATTTACGTATCAACATCCAGAAACAAGCTTATAGCAACAACAATCACACTACCATGTTATTTTGTTCGACCTCCAGGCATCATAGCGAGCGATGGCATCAGCGAGCAGACGCAAGTGCTGCGCAACATCCGCGCAGTGCAAAAGGTGGCGGGATCGAGTCTGGACAAAGCGATTTAAAGATGCATTTATTTAACTGCTTTAAAAGAGTTTCGAGGGATTGATAAGGCGTAAAAAGAGTGGTTGGAGAGCCCTGTTAGCACGTGCGTGCTGTCAGGAGCTAATGAACTGGAGGGTGCGGGTCGAGATTGAGGTTGGGACGGGGTTTAGGTGGGATTGGATGATGTTTTAGTTAGGAACATCTCTTTCCTCTCGTTGTTTTCATGTGAGTTAGTACTTACTGAAGTAGTCGTCCAGTTACAGTTAAATTTGCTAAATATTCGCAGGGTAGCAGAAATGTGACATTTACATTCGATAACCTATACTAAGGATCAATCACCATCGAAGGCTAAGGCACAGCATAACTGCTAGCCGTTTTTGTCGTAATAGAATCGATACAAAATATGATGATGTTCAAAGAAGCATTGCTCGGCACTGCAGCCTGCGGCTGTGGCGCGCGAGTGATCTGCATCTCTATTTCTTCCTCATCCATATCGAACCATCATGTGTGTACTTCCTTATAGCCGATGTTATTCTTTTCTGGCGAATAAAAGGCCTTTGCTATTAAGCGATAAGAACTCAGGTATCAGAGTGATTACAATATTGGAACATGAGCGCTGTTTATTGTTGGTATGCTGAAAAGTGGTCGCGTCAAAAATCAATAAAAACCAATACACCGGTCTTTTTTGAGAGTTCTGATTCCCAATCATCAAATCAAAGTTTCGGAGCCTCGCACCTGGCACACACACACATGCACTCATATTCGTATATAGCTAGCAGGGATGTTTTGCCGCCGTTAAACTTGACCTGGTAGACGGTAGTATTAGTTTCTGCCACCGCCTACTTTGCTCAGTTTAAGGGCTACTAGATGAAGCCTAGCTGCATCAAGCGTCCCTGCTAGCTAAATACCAAAGAGCAAACAAGAAATCGCAGACGTTCGATGTTGAGGGTTTTGCCAAGACTTTCTATTTACAGCTAGTGTGCTGAGATGGGAAAGGCGGTTGCCAGGATGATTCACATGCTTCGAAGACAATTTGCACTTCTCACCTTGCGAAAAACCACTATTTCATTCGCGGAAGCGCAGAATCACGCTCTCATCAGGCTTTTTGTAGCTAGTGAATACACGATGTATGAAAGGTTTCCCAGTGCTTCCTTACGCAGACCCAACATGCAAGGACATTAATAGATGGTGGAACAGAAACACTCATCTGCTCATCAGATGAGCACAGAGTAGTTCAGACTAAACAAGAGAAAACATACCACGTCGATTCTGTTCAGTCTTTGGTGAGAATAACACCTAAGTCATGGTTTCCGGGTATCGCTTGTGTGACTGGTATATCGCTCACCAAGGCAACAAGTTTGGAACGTTTGAGGGGTTATGCACCATGGAGATATATGAGCAAGCTGCAAAAAGATGGTATAAACAGAGCTTTAAAGTCACGGTAACAGTCATGTCTGAAAGTGCGGTCGCGGACACTTACTTATACTGACTTTGGAAGGTAGATGGACCGAGCGGACCAAGTCAAATGGGACATGACAACAGTATAAAACCGCTCCTACAAAGTTAGCGAGCAGCTGTTCCTAGTCAGCTGGGATGCTGAGTATGAATACCGTCATACTCGGCCACGATTAATTCCTTACTCCTAGTGTTGAACCGTCACATGACTACTAGCCTATTTCATTATCAACTCCAGTACTTCATCGTCATCCATTCATCAACAACTTCACATGCACTTGGCTTTCGCGATGACGACTCACGAAGACGCGTAACTCTTTTTACATTTTCAGAACCTTGCCGATACAGCCGGAATAGCAAGACGCGTCCAGTAAATTGTAAGTCAAGACTTCGTCGGCCATTGCAGTTTGCAACTCGTCGCCTCGAGCGCATGAAGCATGCCACTCCTCCGTTTGATGCCAAATTCATCTCCACAATGTTTTAGGGTGACAAGACCTTTGCCGATTTCGGCGAGGGATGGTCTGTTCGACGAAATTCGAGAAACCCGCTGGGCTGGTAGCGACGTATGGATCCCTGAAGAAAAGCGCCGCGTTTTACGGGCTGGCCGCGCAAGAGCAGCTGCATGCAGTTCCTTAACCCGTCAAAGTCCCGTGGACAGTTCCAGGTCTTTGTCAGGCTGCTTTACATCCGAGAAGCAAGTCCATCTCCACTTGCCATGGACGGCAATGTCTTTGCCGCGTCCTTGGTGGTTTTTTGGATTGTTTAGGCAGTGCTTCCAGTTCCAGTTGAACTAATAGCACGGTCCAAACGGTTAACGGTATCCTTGAAGAAATGCTTTCCCAAGGAGTACGGACAGAGTGGGCGCAGCGCAACAGCCGCGCTTCCGCGCGCTGATCTCCGTTCACTGACAAACATGCGCATCGTTCTTTCATCGTCGCAATGGCTTTGTATCCCGCAATTGCATTTGCTCAATTCCAAACTCGGAATCTAAACCGGACGGGCCGATGACCCATACTGTGCCGCTTGTGGATTGATGCAGGGTCCTGAGACGAGGGGGTAAACACGCGAGCCCGTGGGGTCTGATGTTTCTTGCTTACTCTTCCATAACTAATCTTTTCCTCGAGGCTCTCAGATCATACTTTATTTCCGATAACCCCATGCCAATTGACGTGCAGGAGGGAACCCGCAGCATACATACATACATACACCTTCGACAGATTTCACGATGGCAGAGCCTGCTCCCCTTGAGGTCGACCCGACGGTGAGCGCCCATCTGTGAAGGGTCATCACCGCAACGTCCTGCTGATGACGCAAAGCTTGGAGACAGAGATTCGGCGATTGGCGATGATGTGTTCGTGCATAGGCGCCCGTAAGCATCGGCAGACTACTGACAAGCCACAAGGCAGAGCTACACGACATCTCTAACGTCCACTGTCGAGGATTACCCATGGATGCATGGTCGCCGTTTCAACGCATACCGGGAAGGGAGTATGCGCGCCTACACCTTACAGTGTCTGGAAGTTCGCGAGCTAACCTAGGCTCCACAGGCTACCTATTCCCGAACGATGAGCAGGAACAGGACCGCCAGGACATGGTGCACGAGCTCACAAGGGTGACCATGGACTGCAAGCTCTTCTTCGCTCCTATCAAGCCTAAGCGTGTGTTGGACATCGGGACAGGCACTGGTAGCTGGGCTCTAGCCATGGGTACGTGCAGCGCGTAGAACCAACGCCCACTGATCCGTCTTTCTGACATTCCCTCAGGCGACCTATACCCCGAAGTAGAAATAGTAAGCGTATCCAAGCATACCCAGTTAAACCGCATCGACTAAACGTTGGAAGATCGGAAACGACTTGGCGCCCATCCAACCCAGATGGTTAGTACACAATCCCGTTCTGTACTCCAGAAAATACTAACAGGCCTATCACACAGGGTTCCAGCAAACGGTCAGTCGATCTCACTGTAGACCCATCTCCCTCCAGATAGACCCAACGATCTCACACGCCCTACATAGTAACCTTCGAAGTCGACGATGTCGAAAGTGACTGGCCCTCCCGGCCCCCCTTCGACTTCATCCACTCCCGCTGCATGGGCGGCAGCATCAAAGACTGGCCCGCGCTGATCAAGCGCTCTTACGAGTACGTCTTTTCCAAGTCTCACAAATCAAAACCTCCCCATGCACCCCACCAAAACAGATCCTCCATCCAAAACACGCTCGTACAGTCACTAACAGCGTGTCAGCAACCTAGCCCCCCACGGCTACGCCGAATTCCAAGACTGGGACCTCCTGCCCTACGCGACCGACGGTTCCTGCCCACCTGACCACCACGTCCTGCAGCTGAACCGGCTCGTCGTGGACGGATGCGCGCGGGTCGGACGCACGGGGAGGCCGGGGCCGCGCCTGGAGGACTGGGTCAAGGAGGCGGGGTTCGTGGACGTGCGGGCGGAGCGCAGAATCATTCCGCTGGGGGTGTGGCCTAAAGATCCGACATACGTGAGTGCTGACCCAACCGTTTCTTAGGAGGGGTTCGAAAAGAAGAAACGGGTATGGTGAGAAGAGAGGACAAGAGCTAACGGCACGGCAGAAAAAAGTCGGCGCCCTCAACTTCATGCAGTATATGGAGGGGTTGGAGGCGTTTACGGTGGGGCCATTCACTCAGGTGCTGGGGTGGTCGATCGATGAGGTGCATGCGTTTGTGGCGCGTGTGCGGAAGGATATGACGCGCAAGGATGTGCATTTGCAGTTTTCATTGTAAGTTGGGCTTTTTTACCTTCGTGTCTGCTTCAGGGGGATGGAGACTGGCTGAAGCGGTGCTGATGGTGTGCTAGTTATATTGTTTATGGGCAAAAGCCTGGGGCTTGAGGTAGGGGTGCGGTTGTGTGAGTTTGGTGGATGAGGGGCTGATGTTTCATACGGGTGCCTTGGTTGTGCTATGGTTTGGATTTGTTATCTGCTGCTTTGCAGTATTTGAGTCTGGTATAGGGAGGTTGCTGTTCAAATCTCAGTTGCGGTCGTCGATGCACAATTCGAATAGCACAATTAAGTGCAAGGCTTTATGTACACGAAAATCGTAGTTATTCCGTGCGAACCCGTTTCTCTATAAATAACTCATAAAACCACCCAAACGCCGCCCAATGTTTGACTAGGTATACACTCTCCCCTAAGCTTCACTCCCTGTTCCCATCATAATACAGACATCACTCAGTGCAACATACTCTTTCCAATCTCGCTCTCCCAGTTCTTTGCCCTCTCGAAACCGTTCGAGAACGTCGAGTAGTCCATCATGGCCTGGTACACCTCCTCCTGGCTGCTCAGGACGAAAGGACCATACTGCACGACCTTCTGATCCAACGGCAAGCCAGCCACAAGGATAAACCTGGCCTCCTCCTTCGCGTCCGCGGGGACCTCGGCAACGACGCTGTCACCTTTTTGCTCAAACACGACGTTGTGGTACTGTCCAATGCTCTGTGCACCCTCGCCGGTGCCGAACGTAGCCGTCCCGTTCAACGTGTACGCAAAGGCGTTGAAGCCCACCGGCAGGTTCTGCTGAACCTTTCCACCGGGCCGGATGTTGATGTCGAGCAGCCAGACGGGCGTGTACGCCAGCTCCTTGACCGAGTCGACGCCGTGGCTCTGCCCCGAAATGACCTTGATGTGGACCTTGCCTTCATCGACATCGACAGTGGGGATCTCGGAAGCCCTCAGGTCGCGGTACCTCGGCTCGCACTTCTTCAGCTTCGCAGGCAGGTCGACCCACAGCTGCATGCCGACGTTCGGGCTGCCGTCTGCGTTCTGGCGCGGCATCTCCGCGTGCATGATGCCGCGGCCCGCGGTCATGAACTGCAGGTCGCCCGTCTCAATGGTGCCCTTGTTGCCAGCGAAGTCCTCGTGATCCACCGCGCCCTGCAACAGGTAAGTGATGGTTTCCTGGCCGCGATGCGGGTGGTCTGGGAAGCCGGAGCCGGGGCTGATGGTAAAGTGGTCGAGCATAAGGAAGGGCGAGAAGTTGCGCAATTTGGGCGTGCCAATGGAGCGGCGAACGCGCGCGCCGGCGCCCTCGGCTTGCGAGATGGCGAGGAAGGCGGTGCGGATGGCGCGAGGGACGGCCATGGTGGGGTCGGCGTTGAGAGAGGGGTCGGAGGGCGGGACGACGGGGAGACCTGGAAAGCTGGAAGAAGACATGGAAGCTGTGAGCTTCGCTCGGAGTCGATTGTAAAGGTCGGACGTGGTGTCGGTTTGATAGAGGGCAATTGCTGCAATGCAGACGATGATGGAGAGGACAATGCGCATTGGGGTGCGAGGTATTTATACACAGAAGCTAAGGAGGATGTCGAAGATGATGGAAGGAAGGGCACGATGGTGAACTCCTATTTGTTACCAGGGCCATTCTGCTTTGTGATGCTTAGCTCGAGGGGCAGCTTTGCGGGGAAGGGCTTTTGTCATGCTTGCAAATGCAAATCGCCGGATCTTCGGATTTACCCTTCGGATTTTCCTGTCAACAAACAACCAACCAACCATGTCTTCTTCGGCTTCTTGTCCTCTGCCCCACGTCGAAGAGGCTCTGCGCCCTTACATACACGATCGTCAGGAAACCTTGCGTATCCGCCAGACCCTAGCCGACTTCTTCCAGTCTCAGTTCCCCACCACCGAGCAGCAGCCGCTCAACCGTCTAAACCTAGCATTCCCTCCATCGGAGCCCAATGGCGAAGAGCCTCCTCTTGAACTCACAGGACTACGGAAGAAGTACCTTGAAGCCGTAAAAGCCCAAGCGGCGGCGAAAGAACGTCGCGATGCCCTGAACGCGGAGCTCAACCAACTCCAGAGATCAGACATAGATCGCAAGAGCGAGTTTACCCGGGATTTGTCTTCCCCCGACGATGGCATCAGCTCCCACATTGCTCTGTTGCATCAGCGTAGGCGCCATAGAAAACTGCAAATCCTGCAATCAGCCTTGGACCAAATTGCCGACACAGAGCCCAACCCCACGCGGAGGGATCTTCAGCAGTGGCTCAAGGACAGATTAGGTGATGCACCGCTTCCACCCCCGGAATCTGGCTCGGATGAAGGCATTGAAGCTGGCATAAACGACCAAGTTTTGCGGCTGAAGAAAGAGCTCCTTCAGACGAAGCACGGCCTGGACGAAGCTAAAAAGCAGCAAGTGAGCAGGCAGGAACAGCTCCCGTCGGTGTCTGAAGCCAGCCTCGAAGCACAGGTGTTTGCTTTGCGGTGTGCAAGAGACGAGCTCATCAACTGGATTGAAGGCGAGCTGGCCAAGCTCGCGGAGCAAGAGGGCGCAGACGAGAAAGCGCTGCACCATGACCTACACCGCGGCTCGGTATCCGACAGCTCGTACCAAGAGCAAGTGGCGACGCTGTACGACCGCTACGTCTCCACTCGTGCGTCTCTAGTCGTGGTCGTTGAAGCTGTGGCAGCGGCGAACAAGGACGCAAATGCCATGTCAGAAAGAGGTAGTGATGCACCAGGTCCCGTGAAGGAGCCAGAAAGTTCCGAAACCAACACACTTCCGCCTTCGGAGGTCCTTGCCTATGCGCCGAGTCTGTTGCAGGCCGTCAAGGACGAGCGCGCGCTTCTGCAGCAAACCTCGTACTTGCGCCATGAGCTCGCAAAAGCCCAGGAGGAGAACCGTAACACGTTGCAGCGCCTGGCGAACGAGAGCCATCTCGTTCCGCCAGCTGCAGATAGCGCGTTGTTCTGGGCGCAAGCGGCAAAAGAAGCTTCAAAGGGCACAGAGGAATCGGTAGTTGAGCAGCTGAAGGCTGGTGAGACGAGTATTGCTGGCGCGAAGGCTATCTTGGCGGAACTTGAGGCACGGAAGAAGGCGTTCAATGAACTGGACATGGGTATTTGATTGGTGCTTGTAAGCTATGCTACACACCAAAGACTTTCGTGATGGGCGGTCGTTTTCCATAAAACAGAAGTCGGTCTTCAATTGTGGAACTAGGCTCAACCCATTCAACAGACCGGAAACCCTTACAACTTGAATGCCGGATTATCCGTAGGTAGGCACTTCGGGTTGGACCTCTTCACAGCCAGAGGCCTATACCTTATTCACATATCCCGGCGCCACGATCTGGACTATCACTATCCTCGCTACCTACTTTTGCTTCTTCGCGAACCCTTCCCAGCTTCTCGCTCATCGCTATCAAAGATTTTGGGCATGGTACAGGTCCACGTCGCCAGGATAAGTTGATTGCTGATGCTTTACTGAAATCTCCACTCTGGAGCGTAAACCGGCGCGAGGCGTGGTTCTAATCGTCACATGCGAAGCTGATGGTCTCAAGAGGATGGATGCGAAGGGTCATCGGAGTGACGTATCCGGAAATAGTGGAATTATTGAGCATAGGGAAGACAGTTAGGTATAATGGGTTACCACAGGATAGACACCAATTGCAAACCCTGACGAACGTCTATCAAGTGCGGGCGCAGGGGTGAGCGATACAGCAAGAAGTGCTGGACGAGCCCGTGTTGAGGAAGCTCGAATGGCTCCCGGCAGGCGGGTCTCTGTGCGGCGATTTGGCTTGCTGGTTCGCAGAGGAAGCTCTGACGGCCCGCGGCGAACAGGTCTACGGGCGGCGATTGAGCTGGCTGGTTTGGTTAGGCACGGAACTCAACGAAGTCGTGCTTGCCTCCTTAATCTACCGCTCATCCGGTATACCCTTCCGCATGTAGACTTGCCTCGACAGCAACTGCCATCAGCACACCTTCCCTTCTCGTCTCTCGTCCCTTGCCCTCGGAAGTATAAACCCCTCCCTCGTTTTGCTTCTCTTCCTCCTCTTCCTCCTCCTTCTCCTCCTCCTCTTCTTCTTCCTCATCCTCTTACTCCTTGGCGATTAACATGCGGGATTGAGCTTTCCCGAGCTCAGACATACGACCTTCAGTATTTGAGGAGTGAGCACCGCCTCAGATGCGAGGCAGCACACCTGTACCTCATCCAGGCGGATGTAGAGGCAGGTAAGATGGAACAAGGTAACGATAAGAGTTTCGGTTCCGGCAAACTCGTATCAATTAGGTGGAGCTGCACTGTCATTCCACAGCGAGCATGACTGGCGCATGCCTGGAGTCCTCGGCAACCTATATCTTTACTCGCGGTTCATGTGTCCTTGGTCAATGCCATGCTTTGCAAGGAGACCCAATTGAAACTACCTACCTAGAAACGGGGTGAACGAAGTCCGTCTCACTGTCAAGGCAAAGTCTCGGGGAACCCTAGGTACCTTACAGCATCCTAGGCGTTTGGTAAGCCTATATCAAACCCTACTAGAAACGAGGTCAACACGGGTTCTAAGGCAATACGTAGTTAAAATTCTAGAAACGCTTCATAGACGGTTTTTACGCACGGTTTTAGTATAATTTTATCTTTCTAAAACAGTTTTAGAAAAGAAGATAGATAACTAATAACTTGTTTTAATTTTCAACACGGGTTTCTTCTAAAATGGTGTCTTTTTAATTATTAAAACTAGGTACATTATAAATGATTTTCATCTTAGGTTAATTTTGTTAGTTGAAAATGATTTTCGGATTTTAAACCGGCATCCTAGAATCAGAGGCGCTGTAAGGTACTTCGTAGGTATCTCTATCACAGGGACGTAGGTTTTAGGATTAAATTTGAATATTATTAGGTAATATATTGTGCTCCGGCCGTGAGTCCATGACATATCTATAAATATAAATGAGAATAAGACGAGAAAGGAAGATTGTCACACATATAGGCATTAAAATAGTACGAAAGTTTAATGCAAAAATAAGTTCCAGCCTCTTCCTTCTCACCGCACTCACTTAACTATTTACGGTTACAGGGGTAGAAATTACCTATTGTTCACTTCTCCACGGTGAGGGGTGATCCATGGAAGCGGAAACGTAATAAGTTGCTTCTAATTTTAATATGAAAGTTAAAGATAACACAACTAGGTATACCATTATGCTTCTGTAAGCAGACAGCGCCAAACCTAATAATTTTCACCCTCCGACTGTAGTACATCACACCTAGACACACGGCGCGCACACACACACATTACAAGCCTAAACCAACAGAATGGCATTAAGACGTGTCAGAAGCGTGGGACGCCCATCACTGGCTAAGTACCTAAGAGTGTCTACGGGCATCCCATGCCACGTCATCAGTCTACTTATATCCATTCTCCGTTCCCAAGCCACGCCCATATACCACGCCACGCCATGCCAACCCAACGCACCCAGCCAATCCGCGCAGTCTGCACAGCACCACCCTTCCATTCCATTCCACCACCCCACGCACCGCCACCACCACCGCAGCATACCTAAACCAAACCAGCAACAGGCAAAGGAAAAAATCAAGTCTGAACCAAACACTAGCGAGTGAATGAATAATAAATGACGATGAGAACAAAAAATAACAACGGGGGCGAAAAAAACAAAAGCCAGCATCAGCGTGTAGAAGGAAGCAAGCTAAGAAAAGGAGAATTCGGAGGAAACAAGTCTAGTGTCGAAAACTCAAAAATCTCGACGGTCGAAGACAGACCAGACCAGACCATCCGGCGCCAGAATGCGCTGAACAACGCTATGCAACTTTGCACCGTATGCGTGGATTAAAGCAAGGAGAGGGGGGAGACTAAGGACACAACAAGAGGAATGAAATGAGAAAAAACGAAAGGCATGGTGTCTCTCAACATAGAAAGAGAGAGATTGTGAGAAGGTAGAGAGCACCATCGGTTGCTGCTGATCTCGAACAGACCGCTACTATTTCTATGTACAAAAGCGACCACGACGATAGCAATGGCGACGATGACGACACAACGCCAGCTAACCACGCGTCTAGAAGCCGAACGGGTTCTGCGGAGCTGTTGTTGCAATCGTTAGTAAACCATCGCTCAAATGACAAAAGGTTCTCAAAAAAGCACTCACTAGCCTGGCTGAGGTTCGCCCTCTTTCCCGTCGGCTGCGCCGTAAGCTTCGACGCATTGTTGACGCCAAACTTGATGTTCGGTGCGGGGCCCGTCTTTTGGGCTTGCAGGGGCGCCGCTGTCTGCTGCTGCGGGATCGGCGGGATCGGTGGGGGCTGGAATCCCGTCTGCTGGGGCTGCATGCTGAAGCTTGTCTTCTGCGGCTGCAGCGCCGGCGGCAGGAAGGCGTTGACGCCCGTGGCCTGCGGCTGCAGCGGCTGCGGCTGGAATGGCTGTGTGCCGAACGCCGACTGTGGCCGTTGCTGCATCCCTGTCGCCTGCGGCATCATGGGCGGCATCATCGACTGCGGGCGCGGCGTCGGGTCCGCGAAGGGGCTGCCTGCCTGGTTGCCCATCATGAACTGGTTTTGCAGTTGCGGGTTGAATCCTGTGGGCTGAGGCATAAAGCCGGTCGGCTGAGGGAACTGCATGCCGGTTGGCTGGGACATCATGGGCTGCTGACCGAACTGGTTGAAGCCTGTAGGTTGAGGCATGAAGCCGGTTGGCTGAGCCTGCATAGGCTGCTGACCATACTGCTGCATCATGCGCTGCTGGTTGATGTCGTTCATGCTGTGACCAGGGGGCGCGACAAATCCAGTCATTTGAGGGTGCAGTGGCACTGCAGGAGGAGCAAACTGAGAAGCGTTCTGTGGCGCAGACGAAGAACGCTGAGGAGGAGGTGCAATGAGCGAGTTCGGCGCTTGGCCGGTCGGCATCGGCGCCTGCGGCCTTGCCCTCGGGGGCGCCTGTCCGGGTGGCTGGTTGGCAAGCTGGTCAAAGAGACCGGGAGATGCTCCGGTAGGTTGTGGTTGCTGAGCGGGGGCGGGTGCGGGGGCTGCAGCTGGTGCGGGCTGGGGTGCAGGAGTAGGCTGTAAAGGAGGCGAAAGCATTGAAAGCTCCGCCATTGCACCAGTCGGGGGCGCGGCAGCCGCCTCCTTTGAAGGTTCGCTCGCAGCCGTCGTTGCTGTCGGTTCGGGCTGCTTTGATGGCTTGACTTCCCAAGCGTTATCGTCAAAGCCATTGGCTGACTTCGATGCATCTTGCGGCGAACCAGTACTGTCCTTCTTGACTTCGTCGGTCTTTTGCTTGAGTGCTTCAGGGTCCACGACGTCGTTAGTCTGCACTGCCGGAGCAGGACGACCTTTGCGGGTGTTATTCTTGAGGGTTCCGCCGGGGCCAGAGAACAATCCACTCTCGGGCTCCGGGGTTCCGGCACGGCCGTACTTGTTGTCCAAAAACTTCATGACACGCAAGATATCACCCTCCTTGAGGCCCAAAGTGCGAAGCACCTTTTCAGAGATATCCGGAAGGTTCTCCTCACCCATGTTGTCCCGAGTGAAAGATGAAGCATACCTCTCACAAACCTGAGGGTTGACGCCACATTGAAGGAAGAAGTCAAACCAATCGTACGTCTCGACCGTGATTCCAGCGCGCGGGGCCTGGCGCTGGGAGCTCCTTTGGGAGTTCCTCTTCTTGATATCGGACAACGGCTTGTCCTCGTCCAGCGAAACCCCGGTAACTTTCTCGACGTACTCGAGATCCTCGATCGACATCTTTGGAACAGGAACAGCAATTTTGACGCCGTTCAACTTATGCAAGTGGATCTTACCGTCTCTCAAACCAATAAATTCCGCCTCAACCTTAAAAGAACCAGATCGGTCGGTCCACGTGCGAGTTTTCACCGGATCGGGCTCTATAAGTTTGCGTTGTTAATATCTTCCAGTGTATGTGCATACGCAAGCAACCTGAGATGATACTTACTTGGTTTGGACGTCGCAGGAGTCTTTGACGTCGAGCTTTCCCGCTTGCTTCTCTGTGCAGCGCGTCTTTGGTTACTATCTCCGTACCTCAAACTGGTGGTTCGAGCAGGTAATGCTAAGCCAGGGCCTACCTCTGCCGCTGCTTTTTCCTTTTCCTTGTCCTTCTTCAGCGCCTCGCGCGCTAATCGCTGTTCCTCCAACCTGTTCTGTTCAACCGTCGAGCGGGCTCGGGATAAATCCGAAGATGATGACGATGCCTTCGTGATGATGTCGGTGACCTCGACGTAGCTGCTGGGGACAACGCCTTCCCTTCCGTTCTTAATTCGGCGCACCATCCACCACTCTTCGCTCCTCGTATCATCCAAAATAAGAACTTCATCGTCCACGGCGACAGTAACCTCGTCGTCGCCTTGCGCCATAAACTCATAAAGTATCTTGCCCTTCTTCTGCACGTGAGAATTGCCAGAAGCCGCGGCAAACACCTCACGCAGGCCCTCTCCTCTGGCTGCCCCGGCAAGTTCTCCCAGTGCAGCCACGATTTGTTGAGCAGTGTCCTTTGCGCCGGCATGGAAGTCAATGTTCTTGCTTGGTCTAACCAGATCCATGAAAACGTGCTTTCCCTCGATCGAATAATGCGTCAGCTTATCCGCTGTCCACTCCCGCTGTGGGCCGTCCTTTGACCTCTCCGGAGCGATCATAATCATGCCCTTGGGAATGTTGATACCCAAAGTCATAGGCATCTTCTTGCTCTTGCCCATGTGCGAAATCATCTCGTGAATATTGTAAAGATGGTATCCATGATGCACCTGTGGTTTCGGTTCCGACTCGCTTGGTGCGGACGCGAACGAGACTCGATGAGCAGGAGGCGACGAGGCAGCCGGAGCAATGTCGCTGAACGAAACTTGCGATATCGGTCTCCGCGGCAAGCTCGGAGCAGGCATGTCCTCGTCAGACTCTTCGGGAGTGTACTGTGGCTGACGAGGTGGCATGGAGACGGCCGGAGGAGGCGAGACGACGGTACGCTGCGGCTGCGGCGGGGCGGCGGACGCGGACTTCTGCTGAAGAGCGGCAGCGAGAGCAGCCGCGGCACTCTCGTTGGCCGAAGGCGGTGCTGGAGCAGGAGGCTCTTCTTCCTCCAGCTCCGGCTCCGGTTCAGGCTCAGGCTCGGGGATTTGGGGACGCATAGGCATCGGTGGTGGCGGCGGAGGTTCCTCAGCCGCAGCCTCTACCTCACCGGTAAGCTCGATATAATTGGCAGGAGCGAAGCCGAAGTCCCCCTTAAGCCCGACAAGCGTCCAGTCCGGGTCAGAGGTGTCGTATACGTCGATAATTGCATCTTCGGTGAAGGAGAGCTCCTCGTCGGTCTGGCGCGTGTAGTCGTAAAGTGCCTTCGCTTGCGCGATGGGCGATGCCTGCAAGAGGGTTGCGTCAGCAAGGGCTCAATTCCGGCATTGCGCATCTTGTCCTCACCTCCTCGACGTAGTTGTTCGGTATTAAACCCTCGGGCTCATCCTCGCTGTCGTTGTCCGCCTTCTTCCTGGCCTTCCACCAATCATCCTCGGTGCTCTTCTCGAGGACGAAGAGCAGGTCGCCGTCCTTGATCTCAAGCTCGTTGGCGCCCTGCGGGGTGTAGTCGTAGAGGGCCTTGTATATACCCAAGAAGACCATGGCGGCTAGGCGGGTGCGACCAGGGGTGCGGGAGGGTGTTCGGCGGATGCGCGGGCGGGTTGCGGTATCGAGAGTCTGGGTAGGGAGGTTCGAGCTCCGAAGGCGACGGGCAGGGTGGCTGGCCTAGCGGAATTGGCGGCAGCGCGCGGGAAAGGGGAGTGGGAGCGTCACTGCTCGAGCGCAAGAATACAAGGGATGGTAGTCGGTGCAGTCGCGCATGCAGAAGAGCTAGCTGCACGAGCTGGGCTTGTCAGAGTTCGTGGTGGAGGTTCGGGCGTCATCCCCTCGAGCCAGGGCAGCGGGCAAAGGCCATGGCCGACTGCCTCCATGTCATCCCTGTCGCTCTACCCGCCATCCCGGGCCCATATGACCATCATCATCTGCATTGTCCATCAACACCACGAAACAAAAACGCTGGCTTGAACCCCGCATTCATCTAAATACCCTTCTACATAGACACCCCAAAAGAAAGCTTCTCAGGCCTCCCCTCTATGGCGTCACCATGGAGCGGCTGACCAGTCTGCTTTTGGTGCTTCTGCTTGCTATCCATCCAGCATGGACCCTTCTTGCCCTCTACTTTTTTCTGCCTCTACTTGGTATGTACTAGTACGTGAAACGGAACCCTTCCTGCACGTCCGTTAGCCTGGTCCGACCATGCGCCGCCTGGCTGCCTTTGCTTACCGTCTGCTCAATCACCTTCTCGCCCTTTCCTTGCTTCTTGTTGGCAGCGAAAAAGTACACCGAGAACGCTCCAACACAAGCAACCATCATAATTTGCGAGCTGCAGCAACACGTCAGCCGAGCAACATACTTAGGCACACCATGCCGCCACACTTACCCTATAGAGACCCAAATCGCTGTCATATACCGGGGCGCCTCGTCGTTACGTACAATGAAGCTTCCTGCAATCCCGCCCGCGCCGTTGAAAGCTGCCACGACAGCTGCGGTGAAGACTCGCTTCCACTGCCTACGCTGTTATTAGCATTGGGTTTCGTCTCTTGAGAGGCGCAGGCTTACCCGACGATATTGTTAGCCTGGTACGCGGCCAGAGCGGCCCAATTTGCTACGTACGCCCCTGTGGCGATGTAAGTTCCCACGTAACGTACGGTCACTTGGTTGCTGAAACCGAGCATCACAAAACCGATAATAAGGCAAAGGGAATTAAATATAATAACTGGATCTCTGAGGCGGAACGTGTCTCCGAACCACGACGACAGTAGCGCTGGAACAACGGCATAATAGTATGGCGGCGCTGATAGCAAGATGGCCTGGTTCGAGGAGAAGCCCATGCCATCTTGTAGGATGACGGGCAAGAAATACGATAGCGATGTCGAGACTAGGTTGAGAAGGAAGTACATGCAGCAGAAGCCGTAAACTTTGGGGTCATGGGCGTGGACCAGCACCTTGCTAACGGAGAAGGGCTCAGCATGGACGTCTCCGCGGTCTTTCTGGATCCGACGAGCAGCGACTTCGCTCTCTTCCTCTGTGAAGAAGTGGAAGCTGCGATAAGCATCTTCCGGGAAATCAACCATCCACCAGTACGCTGCAATGCCCAGTGCAGTGGAAATTAGGCCTTGGACAATGAACATCCAGCGCCATCCTTCAAGCCCGCCTTTTCCGTGCAGCTGACCCAGTCCGAAGTTGACGATGCCGCCTGTAGCAAGTACAATGACTTCTCCACTTTGAAGGAACGCAAAACGGAGCTGTTGCTCTTTGCGAGTAAAATACGTGCTGATGAGATAAGTAAGGGCGGGATAGATGCCGGACATGGCGGCCCCGAGCAGGACACGCAACGCGATCATTTGCTTCCATGTGTGGATGAAGCCGGTGCACAGCGTGATGACACCGAAGCAGAGGGTGATGAAGCTGAGCCATCTCCGAGGTCCGACAGTGCGCACTGCGATGGTGGATGGAAGCTGAAAAGCGATGCTCGCGATGGTGAAAATAAAGATGGAGACAGAGTATCGGTTGCCCTTGTCGAGGTCCAGGTCGCTTAACATGGACGTGACGGAAGCGCTAGAAATGACACCACTATCGAGGAGATTGAGGCTGCAAAGGATGCCGGCGATAGTGCAGAGGCGGAGATCCACCTTGAGCCGAAGTTGCCGCTCGACACCATTGGCCTTGTCTTCCTGCTCAACTTGGCCGACCCGAAGCTCTTGCAACTGCACACCGGCGACGGGATCTTTGGGGGCCGGCAATAGCACTGCGTGCGCAGGTTCTGACGAGGTGTCCATGGTGGACTCAGACGTGCCACAGGTGGTGTGAGGCGCAAGTATTACGGAGGCGATGAGTCGACAGGCGCAGTAGGACTAAGCCGGAAACAGGAAACGCGAGTATTGCAGGTTGCATGGATTTGGCGGCCAACAGCTGACAGCCGTTGTAGTTAGCAATCGACGAAAGAGAAACGGAGCTGCAGTCGAGCGCGGAAGTGGTTCAAGGGTTCCAAACCATCGGATCGCGGAAGGTGCAGCACTCACCATTGGCCGCAGCTTCCTTCAGATACTGCAGTCCATGGTGACACAGCATTGTTGTCCTAGGGTTGACCAGCGGAAACGCCGTACCACTGCTGCGTTGGGTACAATGTTCTCGTACTGTGTCAGAAGGACATTGCTTTCTCGCCCCCAGCTGGAGCCGGTTAGCACGCAGGATGGTAACGGCGTCGAGCACCCGTCTCGGAAGCCGTCCGACTCTATAGAGCAGTTTGTCCAGCTTTTGGCTATTGATTGGCCTGCAGCACCCATGTACCACTGTGACATTGCCTTTGCGCGTTACTCGTCCACAATACCTAGTCTGTGGGGACGTTGCGGAGCATGACAGAACGGGAAGGAGATATTGTGGTCAGTATTGACTGTCTGTACTCTCTTATTAACCATGCAGCAGTGGGCCTTTCGTTGGACACAACCGGTTGGGATTCACCTGTGGTGGATGCACATTGCACCGCCTCGGACATCAAGTTGCACATTAAACATTCGTGATTCATCACCCGGCCACATGGTCCAATTGAGAGGTAGAAGAGAAAACTTGATTGTTATCGTAAACATGCTTCGTCCCTTCATGCATAAAGAAAAGCAACTTTAGACCCGCACCAATAGCTCCACCAATAGCAAACTCTCTAGCACAGGGAAGCTATGTCCGCATCGCTTAAGCGGGCTTGTCGAACCGTTTAACAAATCGCTCAGCCGGACAGAGCAGACTTCGCCGCATTCCAGTAATCCAGCCTGGACTGGTCCATTGTACCGCCAATGCAGCCACTCACGTACTGCTCGAAGCCTTGCTGAGTGCCATCCTGAAGTCCCTGCCTGACGCTCGCATCACACTGGGTCGCCAAGAACCACGCCGCACTGGCGAAGCTGTACTGGTCCTCGCTGACTAACTTCAGAACGCCATCGGCTCCTTCGACGCTCTTGGCGGTGTCGACCTTGTTGGCGTTGAAGAGGGACCTGGCGTACTCCTCGTTGTAGGCCGCGCTCTGCATGTTCCTCGTGCCCTTGCCAGGAGTGTGAGAGACGCCGCCAGCAAGGAAGTGGCCCCAGTTGTACTTGAACTCGCCGCTCTCGTAGAGCATGAGCGAGAGAACAGCGGCCTTGACGTTAGCGTTCGTGATGCTGTATTTCTCGAAGGAAGTCAGAATGTGGGGTGCGGCCTGAGACGCGGTGCGGCACTCGTTGGCGAACTGGGTAGCGCTACTGCAGCTCTTGGTACCAGAAGCGATGGTCTCGATCGAAGAAGCGAGCTCGGAGGCGTCGTCATCGCCATCGCGGCGGATGTAGGAGATAGCCATGGCGTCGTTGGTGGGCTGCGCGCCGGGAGTCGTGAGGCCGACGGACGGACCGAAGGCGAGGGGAGTCGGCTTAGCGAAGCCTCCAGGCGTCATGAAGGGAGGGAGCGGGGCTCCGGGCGTCATGAAGGGAGGGTGAGGCATGTTGCTCGGAGGCATGCCGTGACCGGAAGTGCCGTTGGGGCGGTGACCGGCCATGCCAGGGTGGTTTCCGCCACCGAAGGGCAGGGCAGAGCCCATAGCGAGAAGGGAGAAGGCAAAGAGAAGGACCTTCATGTTGAGTGCTGAAGGTGTTTGTTTGTTTGTCTGAAGGGTCGTGGAGAATGTAAATTTCGGGGCCAGCCGGGGAAACTTTTTTCTTTCTTGACGAGTATGTAAGGGGAGAGGAAGGGCGTTTATATGGAAGGGTAGTGAATGAAATGAATGAAGTGAAAGCCCGTCACAATGGAGTTGTTTCCCAAGAACAAAGAAACTGCGGCCGGCACAGTGACTGACAAAGACACGAGGGTGAATGAACGCGCAAACACGAAGGAACGGGGGCTGAGCAGCAGCATCAGCACGGCAAGAATAGAAAGACTTATACTCGCAGTCACGCAGTCAGCGGGTTCAGGGCGGCAAGCAAGCGCGCTGCTAACAGCCAGCCACGCGGGCAGCTAGGTGTTGAGGTGTTGGAGGCGGTGGCCGCAGATCGCAGTGGCTTCTCGAAACAAACACGTGACGAGGGGACCATTGGCTGCGGTGACTTGTTCGCGAAAAAGTCTGTGTTTCAGGATGCCTAGTGCGTTTGAGGGCTTGGCCATCTCATTTTGGGGAGTGAGCGACTAAGTGGCACAGCGCTTCGGGCATTGGCACGACTCGGTAAGCGAGCAAACAGCAGACATGATGTGATGATGTGGTCAGACAACTAAACTCTCATGCGCTTGACAATTCATTGGCGCGTAGTCAGCGCGTGCTATTATTGTCCATGCTTGGATAAGACAGGCATTCCCATCTGAGTGGTGACGTGCTCCATATAAGCTTACAGGCGTCTTGCCAGGCGATCTTCATCATCTTAACGACCAGGGCGAGGATTACTTTACACCTGTCCATGTCCATGCACGGTCGATTTCAAATTGCGGCACCAAGCACCTATCCCGGAATGCCGAGGTTGGTTTTTGACCCCCTTCGGATTCGCATTTAGCCACAATCAAAGGATTCGCAACCGTTGCCCTCCGCGGACCTTGACTCAGCCTGCGTTGCTTGCCGTGAACCCTTGCCATATACTCTAGAGCCTGCCGCTGGCGTTCCGGTTAATGCTTAAACGAACATAAGCAGGCCGCGGCCAATGACATAGAGCCAGCGAAGAAGACGGCCGGGCGATAAGCTTTGAACCCGCCCTCTTCTCCACCGTAGGCCTTGAGCATGAAACCTGCAATTGGCGCTCCCTATCTTTGCAGTCAGCAGGGTGGCACTGCGTAGTAAGAGCTTTGCCTAGTTTCAGCCAAAGGTGCACAGCACGTACCAGCAGGTATCCCCCGCCCCAGCTACTGACTATCATGGTCATTGCAACCGACACCCTGGCCGATCCAAATACGTTGCCTACAACGGTCGGCATCGTCGCAAAGAATCCTCCGTTGATTATGACGAAAGCCACCAGTGGGGCCAGGGTCTGAGACACCGGCCATAAAGCAAACATACTTACCGCCAACCGCCGTCAACGCGAAGGATACGAAGAGCGTATTCAGTGGGCCGACTGCATCACTCAGAAAGCCGCACCCAATTCGGCGCACTGCGCTGGCAAAATTGAAACCAGCCACCAGGCCGGCGCCCGTGCCCTTGGACAGCCCAATATTGTAGAAGTGCTGTAGAGGACAAAGCGATAGTCCTTGAACAGACGCTTTTGTTGAGGGAGGGGTGGGTTGGATCAGCACGAATGCGGCACAGGGCTGGGCAATAAATAATAATGGATAGGAACTTATTTACCATTCAATGAACCTTTTGGGGTTAATGGGGGCACTTTCCATGACGAACCACGCCGCGGGCAAGCCAGTGCCGAAAGTCATCAATCCGAGGACGCGGAACGTCCAAGCTGGGCCGAGTTTGTCCTCTAGCTTATCCATGGCAATGGCAGTGAGGGCACCGCCCAGGCCGCCGACAGCGCTGAGAAAGCCATTGGCTATTCCGCGCTTCTTGCTAAAGTACTGGGCGGTTGTGGTGGATGCGGTAATGAAGCATATGCTGGGAGCACGAGCAGTCAGCGGGAGTATGTCGACATACGTAGGTAGCAGCAGGATGCAGGGATCCGCACCTGACTCCGATACCCATAATTAGTCCGGTGCAAATAAAGAGCCCTGCAACGTTGTGCGTGGAGAAGCCACTCAAGATCTCCCCCAGCCCCATCAGACTGATGCCTAGCCCAACAGACGCAGCACCCGGGCGCCTGTGGTGCTGAATATGGCATTACAAGCTACAGTCGACGAGGCGACAAAAAGCCAGGGTTGAGGCTGAAGCCAGGCCCTGGTCGACAAGCGCACTCTGGAGGACACCCCAGCAATACGTTGTTCCGATGAACCACCAAGCGAGCACGGCGCAGGCACCCACGGGAAGGTTTGCATCCGCGATGCGCTCGGGGTCGGCGGGCGATGGACGTCGTGGTCGTCGTTGTCGATGTCGTTGTCGTGGTCGTCGTCATGATACATATACTGGAAGTACAAACCAAAAGAAAGCAAAGCAAAGCAAAAGACGCAAAGATACTAAAAAGCAAAAAAAAAAAAAAAAAAAAAAAAAAAAAAAAAAAATAATAATAATAATAATACATACTGTCGCGGAGGCGCCGGAGCGATGGCGCGCCCTAGACTCGACATGGCGGGTCTGCGCGACGTTAGAAATACCGGAGATGAAAATTAGACTTTTTTGGCGAATTGTGGTTGGGCCGGAAGGCTCGGAAAAAGCGTGCTATATAATGGCCAGGCATAAGGCAGCTATCTGGAAATACAGAGATGCGCCGTGTCACAAATAGACATGCAGCCCCTGATTATCTCGGCCAGTGGCACAACCCAGAGTCACATTGTCCGTTCGCAGCAGTGAAGAAAATTTGCCGGCACGCCATTGGGCCAGAGGGTCATGCGCCGTCGCACGCTGCATGCGCCAATCTCGCCTTTCTATGAATAATTGATTTGTCGCACACGAGGCCTGTATTTAGGAGGGCCAGGCAGGGGATTGTAGGGGCGCTCCGACCACGTCGCCGTATTGCTCGCGTTGCTCGCACCTCACAGCTGCCATGGAGCATAAGCGATCTCGTATCAGCGCGCGCTGCAAGAGGTGCCAGGCTGTCGTCGGCCGCTTCGACAACCTCTGGCTGCGCATCACCGGCTCCTACTACCTGCCCGCCGCCCGCGACGCCTACCACACGCCCGGCCTGCACGTCCAGGGCAGGGAGAAGGCCGCGTCGATTGGCACGGCACTCGATGGCACGTAAGTCTCTTCTTCCAGAAGCATCGGCTCGCTCGGTAGCGCCACAGCATCGCATCCCTGCACGCCTTGCCCTAAAGGTTAATGGGTGCTCTTGGGGCGGTCAATTGCGCGCTAACCTGCTTATACCGTCGAGCTATATTGGCTGCAATGTTTTTACTTTATTAAAGACGCCTGCCGGGCCCCCGCTAACGCTGACTCTTGCATATACACAGGCTCATCCGGCCGCTGGCTTGTCTCGAGTGCGCCGACTACTTAGGCTTCCTCTGCACCAAGGCCCCCGAGTCAAAGGCCTCTTTCAGGTATTTTCCCTCTTTCCCTTTTTTCTTTCGTTCTTTCTTTCCCTCCCTTGCTGACTGCATCATCAGCCGTCGGGAATTTTTCAAGCTGCCTAGGATGGAGCTGCGATGCGACGCCACTAATAGGCTCGTCCAGCCCGTCGTCGACAACGACCATCGCGACATGGACTCTCACCCTCACCACCTCCACCACCAACATCCCTCCCCTGCACTTGCGTCTGCACCTGCACATGCATCTGCCCCCGCCTCCATCGCGCCCTCGTCGAGCCACCAATCGCCCGTTCCTGCCCACGCCCAGGCCCTCTACCAAAAGCAGCCTTACCCTCCCATCCAAAGCGCCAAAAGGCCCTCTCCACCACCGCCCAGCGCCAGATCCTCGCCCTACAGCATCCCGGCCGCCACCCCCTCCGTCAACGGCTACGCCCACAGCAATGGCGTCCAGCACTCGTCGCGCGAGCATGAAGTCGCCATGGACGCCATCAACCGCCTGCAGACGCAGGTCCAGTACAACACTGCCGGCTTGCACACGCAGCGGAGAGACTTTGAGGCCGTAAAGGACTCCGTCAGCAGGCTCTCTGAAGATTTTCATAACGTACTCGAGTCCCTTAGGAGGGAGTTGCAGGCTCGTCCCATAGCTGCCGTGCCTGCCGCGGCCCCCGCGCCGCCCGCCGGCTCTCACCTCGATGATGCGACTCTCGAGGTCTTTGCTAGTAACCTTAGCACCATAGCAACCAAAGCGAACGAAATTGACGCGTTAAAAATGCAGTTGGAGATTGTTAAGCGCAGGATCAAGATTATGGAAGACAACGGCGCATCGGCGGCTTCTGCTGCTGCTCCGTCTGCCAACATAGCCCCGGCTCCGGCGCCTGGCCTTGTGCCTTTTGCCCCATCTCACGAGCAAGCGCAGGCAATACATACAGTACATCAGATGCATCCAGCGCAACTACAGCACCCGTCGCAGCCTGTTCAGCAATATCACAGCCATACGACTCCGCCAATTCCTCGTCTAGGTACGCCAGGCCGCGTCGACGTCCGAGCCGACGCGCGCCCACCGATACAGCCGTTGCCATCATACCATCACACCACTTCGCAGGAGATGGCTCACGCTCACGAGACATCTACTGCGCCCCAGGCTAGCCAACCCGGGCAGGCTAGTGGATGGGTTTCGGTTAATCCAAGCGTAAAGCGTGGGCATCCTAACAGCATAGAGAGTTCCGGCGAAGGCCGACAGGAAGCGCTAGGCTCTCCGAAGCGGCCGAAGCTGGCACCTCTAGAACCCCGAGTTGGGCAAGAAAATGCGACACCTATTCCTTACGATCGTATGCAAACCGAAGACGGAAGTTTTGCTGTTCAACAGCCCGTCGAGGCACACTATGAGCAACCTTCTTCTACTCCCTCTACATTTATCCAGTACAGCCAATCCAATGACGCTGCCATGGAAGCTTACCGCGCGCCAGCATCCGCAGACAAGCCGAAGCGTGGTGGTAGGGGCGGTGGACGCGGCCGTGGTCGTAGGAGCATGCCCGCAGACGGACGAGAACTCGGGACGCCAGAGTGGGACAAACCTGATTGGAATGGAACGCGACTTAGCCCAGAGGGTTATTACAGTGTTACTGCCACTCAAGACAGTGCCAAGGATCACAGAGGCAGCACAATTGTACGTCGCGGCTCCGGTGGAGGTCCCATTGCCATGCGGCCGATCGAGCTCGCCCGCCCGGGTACCTCAGGCGGAGATCCCTATGCTCACACCAAGAAGACTCGCACCAAGCCCGTCCGTAACGCAGACGGTGTTCTCATTCGTAAGGATGGTAGGCCCGACATGCGCTCTCAAAGCAGCGCCGCGAATCTTCGTAAAGTCCACGCACGCAAGGAACATGAACGCGCTCTGGAACAGCGTGCGAACACGCCAACATCCGGCATGGCCAGCGAGTCCATGGCCCACACCAGCCAAGGCAGCCAAGGCAGCGCGACGCCGGACCCAGAAGCGCCGCCTCCAACAACGCAGGAAAGACACGAACAGATCATGAAGCAAATCTTCCCACGCGGCGTGGAAGAGTCAAATCGCCGCAATTTCCATGAGCAGTACTTCCCACCCAACTCGTCACCTGGCACCGTTCCCAGGGTTAAACCTGAGATGAACACACCGTCGGATCGCGGGGATACGTCGTCGGAAGGCTCGCAGGCAGAGATTGCCAACGGCCGGTCGCCCACGGCCGAGCTGCAGAGAGGGGACGCAATGGAGGTGGAACAAACATCGGCGACGGCTGTCGCCCACTAATCTTGGTCTGTCATTTCGCAGTATTACGGCTAACGAAAGAGCATCGGGAGGCGATTTCTTCTTCTCAGATTTCGGTTTGCATTTTCAGGCGCACAGCGGACAGCATGGTGGTGGAGCGTGTGTTTGCGGTGACGGTGGCTGGACGGCTTTTTTCACGAATGGGTTGCAGATTGGGAAATACCCACGGTTGTGCGAGCCATGGTTGGGAAAGGGGAGGGGCCAAGGATGGGGATAGGAACGGTTCGGAAAATGGAATACGTGGGTGCATTGCTAGGCCTAGTTGAACGGAACTACGAAGCATAGCTTTTAACATCTAATCTGTATTCTACTTTCCTACTGTCAGATACATCGCGATGCAGATATCTGTAGCTTTCAATGACGTTGATGGCCTTCGACCGAGTCATGTTTCGAAATTCTCTGGTGGGGGACGTCACCCACCTTCTTCACATCAACCTAACCCTTCTCACCGCGTCACTGCTCCCAACGCCACAAGACAAAATGCGCGCCGCAACACCACAAACGCTCGGCTGGCTACGTGCTGCTGTCCAGCGCGAGTTGAGCGCAACCGCACCCGTGATTTGTCCCTCGCGCCGCCACTTCACCAGCAGCACCGCCCTACGGAGCTCACAAGAAGACGGATCCGACACTTCCTCGCGGCCCAGCATGCCGCAAACGCATTACCACTTCTTCCCTAAGACGCTAGCCAGTGGGCCGCCGCCGCACGGGCCGTTCGACATCGACCTGCGGGCGCTGCGCAGCGAGTTCCTGCAGCTGCAGGCGCAGGCGCACCCGGACCGACACGCAGCGACAAACAAGCGACGGGCGGAAGCGCTGAGCGCGCGCATCAACGAGGCGTACAAGACGCTGCAAAGCCCGCTGCTGCGCGCGCAGTACTTGCTCCAGCAACGCGGGATCGACGTGGCGGAGGACGAGCGCCTCAAGGTCGAGGACCCCGACTTGTTGATGGAGGTGCTGGAGGCGAGGGAGATGATTGAGGAAGCAGAAACGGAGGAGGAAGTCGAGGCGATGAAGGCGGATAATGCAAAGAAGATCGAGGAAAGCGTGGGCGTGCTGGATAAGGCATTTAGGGATGATGATGTCGAGGCGGCGAAAGAGGAGGCGGTGCGCTTGAGGTATTGGGTCAATATCAAGGATAGTCTGGATGCGTGGGAGAAGGGGAAGCCAGTCGTGTTGGAGCATTAAGTTGGGTCGATGCTCCAGCGTCCAAGCGCATAGTCGACAAGGGAAGTGGAAAGCTGTAAAGAGGGATGTGTTTGATGGGCATCCTGGGCGCTTTACAACTACTCCATGATTATATCCAAGAGGAAAGCATTCGTTTGGACTGGTCATTACATCTCCCCTCTGTCGATATCCGATAAGTTGGAGCACGGGGTGGTTAGATTGTGGGTAAGCTGTAATACGTTATACACATGGGCCTACTGAGTAGACGTAGACGCCAATCTCACGCTCCCCGGGACGACAGGACACCAAAATGCCTACCCATAATATGAAGATATCAAAGACAGTTGAACAGATAAACACTAGACAAAGCTAAAGCAAAGTCTTTGACGTCATAGACGTTGGACGCGTCGCATATCTACTATCAACTTCTCCTAGGTACCCAGGTAACTACACACAGTACCTAGCAACACCACATCATGATGTCCAAGAAACGTACCCTCGATAACTTCTTCAAGCCCGTCATCGCCAAAAGACAGCGTGTCGAATCTACAGAACCTCCATCCAACCACACAACCTATCCGTTTCCTGTCCCGCAGCTACCACCCAATACCGCCGATGTCCTAAACTTTTGCCCCGCCACAGAGGGAAAACTCATAAACGATCAGCCTGACCTCGACCTTGTCTATTTCCAGCCTTATATTGCCAAAGATGCCGCAAAGGACCTATTTCACTTCCTGCGGCGAGAGCTTTTCTTCTACCGCGTCAAGTACAGCATTAAGCGCGGGCCGGTTGAGACTCAAATTAGCACGCCGCGCTTCACGACCGTTTTCGGCCTCGATGATTCCGCAGTCTTCAGTCCAGACGGCACGCTGGTAACCCGAGTGGCGAAGACACCCGTACCGGTCGACAGATACAAGTGCTTGCCACGGCCCATCCCGGGTTGCTTGGACAGGCTACGCAAGCTTGTCGAAGCCGCCACCGACTGCACATACAATTTTTGCCTCGTCAATTACTACGCCTCTGGCAACGACAGCATTGCCTACCACAGCGACGACGAGCGCTTTCTTGGACCCCGCCCCGCCATCGCATCCTTGTCGCTGGGCGCAAGTAGAGATTTTTACATGAAGCACAAGCCTGTGGCTCCTTCGCCGGCTGCCGAGAAGGATGCACCTCCATTGCAGGTGGGGGCGAAACCATTGACGCTGGCGTTGGGCTCGGGAGATATGGTGCTAATGCGGGGAACGACTCAGAAGAATTGGCTGCATAGCATCCCGAAGAGGAAAGGGGGAGAGAGCGATAGAGGGAGGATTAATATCACGTTTAGGAGGGCGATGGTGAGAGGTGGAACGGATAATTATTATCAGTATAATGTAGGAGTGGGGCCGGTGTTTAAATGGGATGAGACAAAGGGAGAGATGAGAGAGTGGAATCGGGAGAAGGAGGAAGGAAAAGAAAGAGAGGAAGAAGAAGAAGAGGAAGAGGAAGGAGGAGGACCAGGGAAGGGAGAGGGGAATTCGGCATGAAGGTCTGCGTGCGTAGGTAGGTAATGTTTTTACGTTGGGCGGTGTTCCAGCGACGGAGATGGGGCCGCTGAAACGTGTTGTCGATCCACTGTCACGAGTTTGAGTTTTGAGCTGGGGAATGGGGCAAAGGAAGACGGCCAATGGCAAAACATAGCAGCACTATCAGAGAATGCCACGGCATTCCTGGCGGGAAGCCAAACGTCGCTTGCGACAGTGACATGGAGTGAGATTGTCGATGACATCGTGGCCGGAGTTAGGACATAAGACGAGGGCAAGTATCAGAGGCACTCCTGCACAGTTAAGCCGGCAAGGCAGGTAGGGCTCCTATGAGTCACGCAGATTAGCATGCGCTTGAGAGAGGGCCGCCTTTACAGGTAAGCGTAGAAACAGAGCAGACGATTTAGGTCTTGGCGCAGAGGATACGCTGTTTTGGTCCAACCCCAATCCGCCATCGTCGAGGCACCACCATCGCCGCGTCAGACGCTCGCCAACTCCCCTCTATCGCGTGCGCCATCTTGCTTCCATCTCCTCAGCCCGCTGCTTCTCCATTGTCGTCGAGCTCCCGTGCGCTACCCTACACCGCTTGCTGCCCGGAGAATCGAGGTAAGTTGGGACGCGACGATTCGTTTTGCGCATTCCGCGACTTCTCCGAATTCACTTCCTTGCCTTTTCGCGCCAATTCACGCTTCGCAAGCGCTGACAGTTATGTATAGGCGGCCGAGCACTGTCGTCCTTCACCCTCCTGCGCGCGGTTCTGGAGATACAACGGCGTTAAGAACATTTCGACCGAAGACCTCACCAGCACAAGCACGAACCCACATTTGCTGTCTCGAGCATCCAGACGTTGGCCGTCGACCGTTACCTGTCAAGCACCGTCTCCATCTTGTCTCCTGACTTGAAGCGCGGTTGACCCGACCTGGAGCGGACGCTGAGCGCCGCAAGGCGGTATACGATAAACACCGAATCAGGCTCCGAAGGAATAAGCCAGTGACCAGGCAGAATACTTGACGCGACCGTGATCAGTCTTTTCGCTTAAGGACATCGAATCGACAAGATCACACCGGATCTCAAGCACCATTCTCCGCAGGGCCAATCCTCGCGAGCCCGTCACCCACACCTTTCCTATCGCCGTGTACTTTACATCCAACATACTTTTGGTCCGCACTGTTTGCCAGCAGCGCACAGTACAAAACTCTCGAGATCGTAGCCGGCACAATCTGTCTAAAAGGATTCGCGTAGAGTCAATCAGGGGCGGCGCGTCAACCATCGGACTGCTTGAGAGCCAACCCAAATCCCCACCATTGGATACTTGATAAGACCAGATTCAAACTGACGCTTAATCTGGCTTTAATCATCTGTCACTCTCACGTCTTTGTAAAGCTTACAATATGGCCATGAAGTCACAGTCTACCTCGTCTTCCAGCGTGGGGCTATCGCCTGACGCTCAGTTCAGAGTCGTCCGGAAGAGGAACAGGGTGCCGTTATCATGTGCACCTTGCAGACATAGGAAGTTAGTATATCCGTCTCGGACCCTCCCAATTATGCCTTGTTTTCACCCCTTGAAGCGAGACAAAATCCTAATTCTATCTTCAGACTCAAATGCAATCGGGGTCACCCTTGTGACAACTGCACAAAGCGTGGTGACAATGCGTCATGCACATACGCCACCCCTGGTAACCGCAAGAAGACTTCATCTACTAACAGTACTGCGTCCTCCCCTGATGATATGCAAAATCGAATTGATCGCTTGGAAGGACTTGTCCTTTCGCTGATGACAAACGGCGCTCAGTCGGCTGGGCCGGCCGCGGCAGCGGCAGCAATTGCCAGCATGAACCAGAATGGAGGAAGCATCAGTGGAAGTTCTGCCGATGTGCCTCTTGATGTTGATGGGCCAGCCATGATCAAAGAGGAGCAAGAGCATGATGACAGTGACGTTGAACAGGTTTCTAAGTCGATGGGCATTATGAAAGTAGACAACAACAAGGCTTTCTTCGCTTCCGAAGCCCATTGGTACGCCATTTTGGGCGAGATCACTGAAGTCAAGAATTACTTTGCCGAGCACAAGAAACAATACGACGAGCAGCTTCTCCGACACCAGACAACATATTCGGACGAGATAAAGCCAGGGACCGCTTTCTTGTTTGGAGCTGTCCAGCCAGCAGATAGGGCGGAAATCATGGCTGCGTTTCCTCCGAAACAAACGGCAGACCTTCTCATCACCCGCTACTTCAACGTATATGATCCCGCTTTTCACATTGTCCATGGTCCGACTTTCCAAAAGCAATACGACCGACACTGGCTTAACCCCGATGAAACTCCAACTATATGGTTTGGAATGGCATACGCGATGATGTGTATAGCTCTTCAATCCTACAATCGAGGAGGGGACGAGCCGCCTGAGTACCGTGGTAAGACTTGGGAACTGTCGGGTGACTACAGACGGAGAACAGTACAGTGCATCCTTAAAAGCGATATAACTATGCCAATCACGTACATGCTGGAAACGCTCATCCTTCATGTTCAAGCCGACTACTCTCGTAGTAGAGATGCCGAGGTCGGCGTCCTGATAAGTTGGTCCATCATCGTCCGGTTGGCGATGCGCATGGGCTATCACAGAGACTCCAACCCCTATCGAGCATTGTCACCGTATCAAGGAGAAATGAGGCGACGAGTATGGTTGGTGGTTAGAACGATGGACCTCTTGTTCTCTCAGCAAAACGGACAGCCGCCGATGATCAGGTCGAGTGATACGAACACTGAGCTACCTCGAAACATCTACGATGACGAGCTCTTCGAGGAGATGAAGGTGCTTCCCTCATCGCGACCGTTGTCAGAGGCCACCCCATGTTCGTACATGATCACCAAGGCGCGTTTGGTGTACGCTTTTGCAAAGGTCGTGGAGGAGTCGCAAGTATTAAGCTGTACATCGTATGACGGCATCACCAAGCTGGACCAGCGGTTACGGGAACTGCACGCCTCGACACCTCCGCATCTGCAGATGCGGTCGATGGAAGAATCTGCCCGGGATCCAGCCACGCTGATCATGCAGCGTTTTAGTCTTGAACTTCTTTACTTGAAGGCGCAGTGCATGCTCCATAAGAAATTCCTCGGTCCTTCGCGAGAAAGTGCCAGATACGCGTACTCGCGTCGCACTTGCATCGATGCGTCGCTGGCCATGCTCCGGCATCAGGTTACTATCTACCAAGAGACGCAACAAGGCGGTCGTCTTCGAACTGTCAAGTGGTTCATCACGTCGCTCACGACAAATGATTTCCTCTTGGCAGCCATGGTAGTAGCTTTGGATCTGCACCACACATCCGAGGCGGAACGAGCCGGTCGTTCACCGCCGAGCGAGATATACGCCTGGCCCCAGGATCGGCGCGACGAGATGCTCTCGGCCATCGACCGGGCAGTCAATATATGGGAAGGGCTGCGCGATGGGTCCATGGAGGCATACAAGGCGCACGCGACTCTGAGTGTGATGCTTGACAAGCTGAAATCATATCAGAGCCTGCGGCAAGCGCAACAGAATTTCGCTGCGGCGGCCGCCGCCTACCCTGCCACAGCCAACCTTGAAGACGCAAACGTAGCGCCAGAGCATTCAGCCGCCATGACGCTGGGTATGCTGAGTACCGGCGCTTTGACTCCCAATAGCGCAAACATGTTTGACAATCGCCCCTCATACCCAGCATCTATGGGCAATATTCTCAACGATCCGTTGCCTCCCGTTTCGCAAGGCACGGGTCTGACGCCGCAGTACACGGGCCCGGCTGTCAGTGGTGGTGACCAGGCGGTTGCCGGTTCGGGTGCTAGCCCGTTTTCACAGCTCTTTGGCACGTCGAACTTGGGATTCCAGAACATGGATCTGCCGACCACGAATATCGATTGGGTAAGTGCTCACTAGGGCGCAGGGAAGGATGAATATACCGTGATGAACGTCTCGCTGACATGCCGCGATGTGTAGGAAGCGTGGGACTCGTACGTGCAGGGCTCGGCTGGTGACCCTACGAACCAGTTGTGGCCTATGGGCGTACCAGACATGGGCGACGGAGCTGGATTTCCGCCGCAACATCAGCAGCACTCGCAAGCGCAACAGCAGCAGCAGCCACTAGGGTCTGCCCCGCCGTATATGGGTGTGGGAGGCATGTTCATGGGCGGTGGTACGCCGGAGAAGAACCAGATGTTGTAAATGACAGAGGCGAGCTGCTGTATGCTTGGTCTTTTTTTTT